TGTAAATATCGTCAAGATCCTATGTGCTAAGTAAAAATTCAGACCAGCCGAAATAGTTGATTTTATTGAATGAAGAAATTCACAGAAAAGAAAAAGAAACGCCATTTTTTTATTTTAAATAGAAATATTTCACAAGACGGATAGAATATTATTTACGTTTTAATCCTTGCAAAAAAAATCAATCAAACTTTGCATTAATTTCTTCTGTCCTTTTGGTTTTTCATCCTTTCTCTCCTCTCTCTCTCTCTCTCTCTCTCTCTCTCTCTCTCTCTCTCTCTTTCTTTTTCTTCCCAATCATTATTTTTGTTCTTCATTTTGTCGATAACATGCGTTGATAATTAAACACGATATTTTTATGGGGCGTGTCTCTTTCTCTCTTTAATAATAATAATAACTATAATAATTATTATAATAATAATATAATAATAATATAATAATAATGTTATAATAATTAATAATATAATAATAATAAATAGTTCTTTATGATAAAATATGGCGCAGTATATTTTTTTTTTATTTGCAAAATTTTTATCAAATACACACGCCCTTTTACTTTTTTTTTCTTTCTTTTTTTTTGTTAATCGCGCTCTGTCGCATTTAATCCGCCATTCTTTTTTTTTCTTTCGCACCAGTGCGAAAGATAAAGGTTTTATTATTTTTACTCTTTTATCTTTATTTATTTATTTATTTATTTTATTTATTTAAATTTATTTATTTTTTATTTTCATTTTATTTATTCTTTTCTCTGTTCTTTTCATCTTTTTTTTTTTTGGTGTTTTGCGATTCGAGTTCTATCACGAGATGTGAACGAAATGATCGATCATTCTCCATCTTTCTCGCTCTAATTCGTTCTTCTTCTTGACATTAGCATAATCGAAGCGTATTTTATAAAGGTTTTCTTATTAATTTAAGAAAAACTCTTTACTTTAATCTCAATCTGTTGTTTTTCTTTCACTGTTTCTATCTCCTTCTTTTCATGTTATTTTCACATTCTGGCACCAATCATTCACATTTATTTCTATATATATATATATATAAACATGGATATGTGTATATGTACGCATTCATATATTCATACATGTATAATTACATACGTACACATATACATATACATAGATAAATATATGTTTTCCGTTTAATGCATTTCCTAGCTGTTCGTATTACATATTCACTATCATCGTTCTACCTAATCCCGTATAGAAAAGAAAAAGAAGGACCCAAACTATTGCAAATCAGCAACAAGGAGAGCATCATTTCCACTCGATAGATTTTTTTTCTCTAATACACATGTTGTCTGAATAATTACAGTTGTTTGGGTCCACGGGACATTGGCATTTTGTTAGACAATTATACAGTTATATAGATTCTATATAAATACCTAATATGCATTCGTATAATACATATCTCCTAATATGCCATTTTGTGTTTTTATTTTTTATTTCTATTTTATTTTTATTTTATGTTTTTTTTGTTGTTGTTTAGAACTCGTTAACTAAACGAGACGTAATTACATACGATCACCCATTCTCTCTTTCTTCCTTTCATACATACACACATTCTATTCGTATTATTTTCATTCATTCATTCACTCATTCTCTCCCTCCCTCCCTCACTCACTCACTCACTCACTCACTCACTCACTCACTTATTCTATCTTTCTCTCTCTTTTTTTTTTATAATCACGTTACATACACATATACGCAACACATACATACAGCAGGACACATACATATGTATATTGTTAAATCATTTCACGAAACTTCGGGAACGTTTTTGTTTTCTTTTTCTTTTCTTGTTCTCGATATTTCTCCTCAATTCTAATCTTAACTGATTTCACGTGTACGTAGGTATGTGTTTTGTGTGGTGTGTTGTGTGTTCGTCTCTGGTTACATGGTTTTGTGTGGTATATGCAAATATTTCATTAGATTCCATTAAATTTATCATCTCTCTCATAGGGTTACGTCGAATCTTGTGTTTTTACTTATGTGTTGTACATCCTATATGTTTATAGATTATTTATTTATGTCCGGCATATTGATGTGATGTTATAACATGATGTAAAGTTGCCCTTCTTCTTCTTCTTCTTTCTTGTGCTACCAAAGTTCTCCTTTTCTTTATATCTTTCGTCTTCATTTTCATCTTTTTCTACTTCTTTTTCGCCATCTTTTTCTTCTTCTTCTTCTTATTGAATTTCTCTCATAAAAGCACATATATTAAAAACACGCACGCTTTACTTATTACATTAGCATCGCGTGCTATTTTTCTTGCTTCTCTTTATTTATTAATTTAAGTTAATTTAATTTAATTTAATTTATATTAATTAATTTATTCCTTAATTTATTCCTTGTATGTGAATGAATGTGAAGAACGAAGAGAAAAGATTTCTTTTATCTATTATTATAATTATTATTATTATTATTAATATTATTAATATTTAGTATTATTATTAGTATTAGTATTATTATTATATTATATTATATTATTATTATTATTATTATTATTATTATTAATACTATTATTCTTATTTTCTTTTAATTTATTTTTTAAACATAGAAAATCACGCAAATAATAAGAAACAAAATCAATGACGAAGAAGAAGAAGAAGAAGAAGAAGAAGTAGAAGAAGAAGAAGAATAAAAGAAAGAAAAAAAAAATAAAAACAGACGTGAAAGGAACAAATTTATAACGTAAAATTGTTTCGTTTTTTTTTCTTTTTTTTATATAATATACACATATTAATTAGGATTTCTTATATCCGGCTAATCAATCATTATTATTACGATTTTTTTTAAATTTCCATCCTATGTATTATATATTATTAATTCATAATTATTTTTTAATTAGAGACAAGTCGCTCAATTTATAAACGAATATGCACAAGATGCGTGGTGTTTATTGTGTGTGTATGTATATTTCGCATGTGTGTATGTGACGTAGACAGTAAAGATTTTCTCGTTTATATTATTTTTTTTTGTATTTTATTTTAATGCATTTTTTTTATGTATGTATATATATATATATATATATGTATATGTATGTTTGTTTTTAATTCTTCTTCTTCTTTTTCGAAGGGGTGAGATAGGTGAAACGAATTTTTTTTATTAATTCGATCATTTGACCTTTTTTTTTTTTATTTGTTTGCAGTAAGATTTTAAAGAGCATTTTTTTCTCGTCTTAATTTTTTTTTTTTTTTTTTTTATTCAAACAGTCTCAGAGTTGTTTTTGACTTCATTTTATTTTGTTTTCTTCTTCTTTTTCTTCTTCTTCTTCTTTTTCATATTCTACGACGCAAAACAAGTGTGTGGTCTCGGTATTCTTCTTTCTTTCCTAATATTTTTTTCACATCTGTTTTTTCTTTTTTTTTTTTTTTTTTTACATATACTATTCATATATCACCGACGATCTTCCCCTTCATTTTCTTCCATCTTTCTTTTTTTATTTCTTTCCTTATCATCTATCATGATTATTATGACCGATCACACCATTCACCATTTACTTCCGCGAATATTAATCGTTAATATAACAACTATTTTTATTTATAAATTCTGAACGATCAAATTCAATTATAACGTAATTTCCACTACGTTTCATTTCCCCTTATATAATATGTTATCTTAGATAAATACATAATAATTTTTTTTCGACAAATATTAATAAAATGTTTTATTTTTTTTTTTTTTTTAATTTTTTTTTTTTATATTAATTTTGATAATATCATTGTTATCAATTATATTTATTATCCTGCTGATCATTTGCAAGGCTTTATAAATAGCCCTTAAGTTAATTTATTTAAAAGCATTGTGTGCAAGAAAATGTCAAAGAAAAAAATAAAGAAATTAAAAGAGAGAAAAAGAGAAAAGAAAAAATAAATAGACAAACATTAGCAAGAAGATATAAAAAGAAAGTACACACACGTATGTATGAGGAAATGAATAGTAGTATTCATAACGTTAATCGATAGTAGCTCGTATCCCATTTGGGGACATCGTGCAATAATTATACTCTCGTTTCTCCCACCGTCTATCTTTCGCACATTTTACTTACTTATCTTCTTCTCTTTTCTCTTTTTTCTTTTTCTTTATCTTTTCCTTTTTCTTATCTTTCTCCACCTCTCTACCTCTACCTCCTGATCTTCCATTTTTATATTTTCTTTTCTTTTACTCGCACGAGCAGCGGTAACTCGTTTTTTTTTTTTTTCATTTTGAATATTTATTTCGTATTTTTCTTTCTTTTCTTTCTCTTTCCTTCTCTTTTTTATACTATTTTTTTTCCTTTTTTTTTATGCCTTTTCGTCAATCCTTTTATTCTTCCTTTTTTTAAATTCACTTTTAATAATCACTCTTTCTTTTTTTTAAATCATTTWTTATTTTCCATTCATTTCATTTCATAACCCCCGCCGCACCTATCAATTTTGTTTACATTTGTTTTTATTTCATTGATACTTCTTTTTTTTTTTTTTATTGTATTTACTTTGACTTTATCGTTTTTGTTGTTATTCCTAATTTTTTCATGTTGTACTTTTTAAGCAGAAAAAAAGATTGAATCTATTCGAACGAAACATGGTCAACCACTTTTCTAATATACATTTGATTTTTTTAATGTATATAACACTCTTCAACACTGATTGATGTTGATGTATGTAATATTCATTTTTGTTTCTTCTTCATTTGGAATAATCTTTTATGTTTTGTTTGTTTTTCTTATTGTGTAATCTCGTTTTTATAATTATGTATGTATAGATATATGTATATCTATATATATACATATATATATATATATAGATATATATATATAAATATATATTTATAGTGAGGACCAACCTCATTGTTTTCGCGAATTGTTTAAAAGGCGAATAACGATGAGACGATTTTTCGGTTTACGGTGGCGGTGGCAATGATGATGATGATGATAACGACAATAATGACGATAACGATGATAACGACGATAACGACATTAATGATGATTAATTATTAACTATGAAACGTGTTGTAATTGTTGTTGTAGTAGTAGTAGTTGTTGTTGTTGTTGTAGTTGTTGTTGTTGTTGTCGATGCCGATGTCGATGTCGATGAAAATGGCGATGACGATGGCATAGACTCTGATAAGTTTCTTTAGTTCGCTTAATTAATGTCTTGACAAAACGAGTTACGATTATAATTCCAATGTTCGAGTTAAATTAAAGCCTTTTTCACTTGATTAAGGGTGAGTCTAAATTTGGATTGGGGTTAGGCTGTTGCGAGGTCGAAGATGGTGATGGTACCTGTGCCACTACCGAGCCTTTCCCCTCTGAAAGAACATTCCCACCGCTTCCACCGCTTCCACCGCTCATACCACCAACGCCAACCCCTGCTCCTCCACCTTCTTGCATTTTCTCGCAGTAATCCGCAAATATGTCACGGAAACGCGCCCATGATTTCTCCGGCACGGTTATCGCTGTTCGAAAGTTCGTTTTGACCTGAAAATTATTTATTTATCAATTAATAGATTTAATAGAGAAATCAATAAAAAGATATACAGGATAGGTCTCACAAAAATTTCCTAAATTGATTTCTGCTTTTGATAACTAGTTTTGTTTTTTAAATGATCAAACTACAATATATAAAGGCGTCTTCCATATTGGAAAAAAATTTTTATTAAACTAAAAAATCTTTGAATAGAATAATTGGTTTTTTTTTTTTAATTATTTAGCTACTTTAGAAGTTGATTACTAGTTAGGTCAGAAGTTCATTGGTAACTTAAAAAATTAATTACTTTTTTAAAAACTAATTTACTTAAATGATATAACTACTAATGTTGGATGTTATGGAGGATCAACTTACCTCAGAAATTCTCATATAGATACCACGATTATTTTGACCTATATCAAAATAAAAATTCTTCCCCTCAACACGCATGTAGCGACCATCAGGTAGATCACCTTTAAAACCTCCGTCATCTGTACCAAATTCTTCCAAAAGATCCGTCAACGCGTCACGAAACTCGATCATACCTTGCGCAGGTATCGCAATCTGCGTCCTAGGTCCTCCCCGTGTTATCGTTTGTGATACCTAAATAACAATTATAATATTTAATACAAAATGAAATTTTGTAAAACAATTACATTTCTTTTTTTCTCAGAACCTACAAAAAAATGTTGTCACTTGTTTCGTTTTTTTTTTTTTTGACATTTATTCAAGAAGACATGTTTATTCATATTTTGTATCTTTCGATAAGATTTGCAAACGTTGAGAGAATTTAAATCGAAAACACCGTGAACGGTACATACAGGGTAACTCACCCGCAGGAAACGACCACGAGAATTTTCCTTGAGATCCAGGTAATACCGCCTGTTGTCCTTGACCATCATTTCTGACTTCAGTTTTCCATCGTCCGGCACATTTTCAGGATTTGGTGGACCTAACATTTTTATTTTCAGCTTTGAATTTTCTTTTGTTTGTTTATTTGTTTATAATTTGATTAATTGACAATAAAATAAAGAATAATAATGGGGTTTTAATTGATACACGTTATGTCAATAAATTTGACTTACCTAACGATGCATAATAGTCGCTAAATGTTGACAGATGGTTCCGAAACTCGAATGCTGTGCTGAGTGCTAAATATATTTGACTTCTTCTTCCGTCCGCTCCGATCTACGATTAATCGGATCAAATATTTCAATGTTTTGAAATTTTGTTTTACATAATACATAAGTGGGTTGAAAAGTTTTCAACCATGAAGTAAAAAATACTTTTTTTTTTTTTTTTTTTTTTTAATTGTAGACGAGGTTCATGATTTTTTAACATTCCCTTTACGACAGGTTGTGCTTCTTAATAAAAATTCTCAGGTGATTTTTTAAAATAGTTACTTTTTTTGATATAATGTAAAATTACGAATCTAGGAATTTTTGGCCCACCTTTACGTACCTACACTCACATATATATATACATATAAAAAATAATATGAAAATGTATATAAATATACCTCGGCTACTTTGATAAATCTTCCGCGTCTATTTTGCTTCACGTCAAGGTAGAATCGTTTGCTTTGTATTTGCAACATTTTGGTCGCCAGTTCCTGCTCATTTTGCTGACTTTGTTGACCTGAAAACAAAATCCGTGGTCACTCGTTCGTAAAAATTAGAGCTAGAACTTACAACAACAAAAATTATACGTCTAAAAAAATCAACAAAAGAAAAAACGTGGTACGGAGAGATGGATAGCATGAACAGGGGGAGGGGGTACGCATTAAAAGAAACCACATATTCATCGAAAAAAAAAAGAAGAAAAAACTAAAAACTCGTATATATTCTTGGGAAAATTGTTCCTGATAAAAGGCAACTTGCCTTACGTTCAAAGAATCCCATCATATCGAACACGGACTCGTCATTCGTGTCCATTTTCTTGATAAATAAGAAGATAACGATCGCGAGTAATAAAAGAAAAAGAAGAAGAAGAAAAAGTGGGGATGGTGATGGTAAAAAAAAAAATCTCTAGAGACATTCGTTGAAACGTTAGGACAGGTTTATCTCTTTTTTTCGTATATATCAATCGAGACTCGACGAATCATCCCTAAAGCCAAATGTCGGGAGAACGTTTTTTGGAAGAAAAGTCAGAGAGGGGGGTTGTTTTGAAAAAAATAAAAAAATAAAAGAAGAAGAAGTTTAAATAGATCACACGAATGAGAACGAAGCGGCAGGCAGCATCCTCTTTGGGATGGAACAAGAGTAGTAACTTTGGCGTAACGGTGGAACGATGTTGCGAGTCCTCTCCGATCAATAACAGCTGCATCAGAGAGAGAGGTTGTTGACCTCTTTGGTGTACCCCACTACCAACCAGATATACCCCCACCCTTTTGCCTTTTCTCTTTTTTTATTATTATTACTATCTTTTTTTCTCTTCTTCATTTTTTTACCACATATATTTCTCCTTTAGCATACACCGGAAGTCTCTTATCCTGTCTATCCTATAAATTGGAATGAGAAAATTCTGATTCGTTGGCTCTAACGAAAGAAACTAAAACCTTCTCTTATATATTTCTTTTTCTTCATAGTTGCCTTGAATTATAAACACATGTACGTTCTGTTTTCTTTATAGAGAAAAAACATTCTAAGAAAATTAAATTTTATTTAAAGAAAAACGATTTTTATGGTGTGTGTTCCATACACACAAATAGGGAAAACAAGGTGGTAAATATATGCTACAACCCAATATCCTTTTATTATCCCTCTTAATCTAGGAAATGAAATAATCCTATTTACTAATCGCGGATTACCGAGCCTAATTTCACGCGTAAATACATCATATATTAATTTGATATATATTTTATTAGACTCTTTGTATTTTATTAAAAGAAAGATTAATGCTAAGACAGAATTTGAACACGTTAGAATATCTGGACCATAGGAAAAAGGGTCCTGGGAAGATCGATCGTGCCCGTCGTCCCCAGTCGAGATCTGCTGCGCGAAATGCGCCTTCTATGATCGATCTAAAACCTTAAGAGTTTCTCTCTCTCTCTCTTTCTCTCTCCCCCTCCCTAGTTCTAGTTCCCCTTCTAAGTACTACGTACTGGATTGTTGCAACCTGCCCGGAATTGGGACTGGGCTGAGGTCGCCTTGAAAGATCCTGCTCTTGAACATCTTGACAATGCTTTGGTAATCCATACACCTGTGCATTCTAAGCAACACTTTCGCGAATTTCCTTTTTTTCTTCTTCTCCTCCTTCTCTTCCTCTGCGTCTTCTTCTTTTTCCTACACCTCTTTCCTTATTTCTTCTTTTTCTTCTCTTTTGTTTTCTTACTTTCTCCCTTTTCAACGGTTATCTTATTTATTAATTATTTTCTCTCTCTCTCCTCTCTCTCACGTCCTTGATATCTTTCTATACAAACTTCCCAATCTTGTCGAGGATAAATTATCTCCTAGGAGATACATTTTTTCTTCTTATTTTTTCTCTTTCTCTAGACTTCTCTCTCTCTCTCACCCTCTCTCAATCAGTTTTATCAATCGAGAGGAACCAAGCGTTAACCACGAAAGACGTGTGTCTTCCTTGGACACAATCGATACGTGTCAGAACATTCTTCTTCTCTTAATATCTTTCTTTTCGTTATCGTTTTCTATTATTCTCTAACATATTATTGTTATTATTGTTGTTGCTGTTGTTGTTGTTACTATTTTTATTATTCTTCTTTCTACTACTACTATTACTATTATTTTTACTACTACTACTAATACTACTTCTACTACTACTATTACTACTACCACTACTACTATTTTTTCTTTTTACTATCTTTTTCTCTTGGACGCATGACACAGGCCAGAAATTTTGACTGTACCGAATAATCTCAATGGAACGCACATTACGTAGACAAACTACGATCGAATCCATCGAGTTTTCTTTCTACTTTTCCTTTCTTCTTTTTCTTTCTCTTAAATCTTCAATCGTGACTATGCCGCCATTGCTTTTCCATTACGAATCCACCCGGTCTTTTTCTGATAAAGTAATTACACTCAAGAGGAATTTGTTGTTCATCCATTCATTTGTTCATACTTTCTTTTCCATTACTACGATAACCAGCGCACCATTTTCTCTCCTCTTTCTTTCTCTCATCTCGTAACTCCTACCTCTCTTTTTTGACTACAACTCCTAGGTCACCATTTATTATCATGAAACTAATTGGTTCTCGGATACGACAACAAGGTAGTAGTCCTTTTCGTTCATTTATAAATTAAATGTTCGTTCTTTTTCAATTAGCTACCATCTCGTTCCATTCCATCGAACACTTTGCCAACTGACATGTTTGTATATGTATTCTTTGTTTCTTTCCTTTTTTATGTGAGAGAGTAAGAAGATACATGTTTTATATTGAATTCCTTTTTTTAATTTTCCAATTTTCTTCAATTATTATTCAAAGAACTCTTACAGTAGCTCGTTCTTCTCTTCTCTCTTTCATACTTTCTAGCTTCATTTTATTGCAGTGAAGAAAATTATAGGCTAAAATATATTTCAAAATGTCGGGCGAATTTTTGTTTTCTGATTTTTTACAACAAATTCAGTCAACACCTCGACGTTTTTATTTCTCTTTTAAAAATACTAAATTTATATATATATATATATATATATATTTGTCATACGTATATATGTATATGGCTCTGTGTATATATATATATATATATATATATATATATATAAACAGCACGACGTGGACCGAGAATACGCGTATGGTAAATTACGAAGAAAACGATCAGAACGAGTGCATTGATCTCTGCGCCTGGAGCGCGACTCGCGGCGCTGCACCGACCTGCCTCAATGCGAACTGCATATTTCTCTCTCCCTTCCACCCTTCCCCAATCCTCCCCCTCCCCTATCCCGCTTCTCCTTTCTCATACCGATTGTGTCTGCCCCCGTAACTTCACCACCATCACCTCCACCACTATCCTCGATTCCATATTACCTCCCCCACTCACCACCATTATCCACCCTTGATTTTCTAACATAAGACAAGGACCTAGGACATAAGGAAGGATAAGACTAGCCACCTCAACCTTATCCTCACCCTTCCGTGTGACTGCTCTTATCCATTGAGCTATCCAGGGCTCATCACCTTATCTTAAACCTTATCCTCAACTCGTCATGGTCATTTTTTTTAACCGGGTAATCAATAAATTAATTTTTAGAGAACTGTATAGTTACTTAGGAATGTTCTCTTTTCCTTTTTTCCTCCCCCTTTTTTGTTTCTTTTTAAATTGACCCATTAAATCACGCCACGATCGAAGTCTACGAAATTGTGTCGAGAGAGTGAGAACTTGTCATCGGTCGCGAGTGTTCCTCCGCCACTGACCTTTTCTACGACGGCTACTACGAAACAGCTTTTACATTTTTTTTCTTCTATTAAATTTGCGCATTTAATTTACACATCGATACGATGTATTATGTAAAACAAGAAGATAAAAGAGTTATGTTGTGATAGATATACGTGGAACAAATCCTAGAGCGTTTAAATTTGTTGCAATAAGAAAAAAATTGATAAAACAGTCGTTCCAAAACTTGGACACAACTTGGAATTTGGGTTTTATTTAAATTGGTAATTAAACGACGTGAGTTGCATATATTAAGTATATAATGAACATCAATTTAAATTATTTGTATGAAAAACTGCAAATCATTCACAATATATAAATATAAATAGTTTTAGAGTTATTTTGGGAAAAGCTGCTACTTTTGTATCACTCTTGTAAACGCGTTTGAAACGACATAATCTCAATTAACAAAAATAATGTTTATTTACGATAATTTGTATTTTGTTTATTAGATATTTTGTTTATTAGATATTTTGTTTATACGGAAGATGGATTGAAAAGTTTTAAGCTTTAACAAAAAAAAAAACACTTTTATTTTTAGATAAAAATGAGTTAGATCGTAAATAAAATAATTTTTCTATGTTAGACTGAAAACTTTTCAATCCACACATGTTTCATTATTAAGATTCTAACGTAATTTGTTTGTAATACAAAAAAATGAAATGTATAATAATGGTGATAATAATAATAATAATAATAATAATAATAATAATAATAATAATAATAATAATAATAATAATAATAATAATTTGAAAAAGCAAAGAAAAAAAAGTTAATTCGATAGAAGGAGCGAAATGAGCGATAAAATAAATAAGCTCAAACCGGTACATGGCTCCGTATCGCCATTGTTATACGCTCCTGATTTCGATATATCACGTGACGTCGTTTGTGTCAGCTACCTTCGGGGCACCAGTACTGTATCTTGTCCATTATGTCGCCCCAGGTATTCTTCACCGGATTCCGCCCAACCTCGCCCTGCGAAATCTCCACGATTTCTCCCATCCTCATTGTACTGGTGTGGTTGTGTTGATTTTTTTCTCTTTATTTTCTTTTTTTTTTTATTTATAAGTGCTTCCCTTTTTTTCTTCTTCTTCTTATTCTTCAGAATAAAAAATCTCTCCCCGTAGCTCGTATTCTTCTTTTCCGCCGGTAAATATTCTTCGACCACATATCACAAAAGATTTGACTTCACTCTCGATAACGCCAAGCACGGCATAGCGACAAACGATGAAGTTAAACGAATAACGTCGGGTTTTATTGTTCTCTCTCTTTTTCTTTCTTAGAACGAAGAAAATAAAAAGTCACACAAGGTATAAAAGAAAGAAAGAAAAAATGAAAGAAAGAAAGAAAGAAAGAAAAAAGAAAGAAAGAAAGAAGAGATTGATTTGTTCTCACAGTTTTTAAAACACGTCCTAGCAAATAGAATATTCAATGAAGAAAAAGCACGTTAAATGAAACGTCGAAATTAATTTTAGTCTTAATTTCGAGAAACAATAACAACAATAACACTAAACAACGCTGTCTGAGGAAGACATAACGCGTACTAAACGTGCGTACACAATGGTCATAACGACGACGACGACGACGACGACGACGACGACGACAACACGACGGCAAGGAGAAATCGTACGTATTTACATGCATACGTATTTATTCTCTTTCTTCCTTTCTTTTTTTGCTTGTGCTTCTCTGTTTCTCTTCGATCAGTCTCGCGATAGAATCCCGGGAACTTTGGGGTGACTCAACAGGCAGTGACGATGACAACAACGACAACCGACAACGACACGACGAAAAGAAGAAAAAAAAGAATAAGAACCGATGACGACAATAACAGTAATAACTTTAGCAGGAAAGAAGAGTAGTTCTGGCAGTAAAATAACTCGTCAGTCTGTTGGTGTTGGTCGTTGACTTGACTGATATCCTTGGTACGCGGTGCATCGGTAGACTTCGAGTCCGGCTTTACCGTCCAAAGATAAAAAGTGCGTTTGCCATTTAACGAATCGTCGAGGAGGAGCGTCTACTAAACGATACAAATACTACTGCCGCAGTCGGCCACCACCGCTCCACTTTCCTTCTCCTACAATACTCCTAAGCAGCTTTTTAGCTGAATCTAAGCTGATAAAAAAAACCTTACTAAGAAACAAAACTATTTCAACAAGTCCCTCCTTCTCGGTAGGTCGACGGAATCGTACTAACGGCATATTCACCGTACGCGATCTAACACATCACTACTTTTTTCTTCTTATAAGACACTATACATGATTTTTCCTTTCCCCGTCGTCCTCGTTCTTGTCGTTACTAATATTAATGCTATCGTTATCTTTACTATTGTTATTATTACTATTATTATTATTATAACAACTTGAATAATAAAGATTTAACATATCAACGAATAAATACAAGAAATCATAACACCGGGAGAATGACGAACCGGTCATTCACGAAGCCCGCCGTCATGCCGATGGAATGCGCGCATCCATGATGTTCACGTTTGCACCGACCAATCAGGCGCAACCCAGTACCGGCTTCTGCGTCTGCCGGCCAACGCTCGCCACGTGATTTCGCGCTTTGGACCACGTGATCTACTCTTCTCCCTCCCCTCTAGACTCCTCCTACCACGCACTGCCTCTCGCTCTCTTTTTCTCTCTCTATTCGTTACCACCGCCAACTACGGCGACGGTGATGGCGACGCGCGCTTCGCGACGCGACCGTGTGACGTCACGCACAGCTGACTGTGCTAGAGTACGCCGACGGTTTACCGTTTCTCTCCTTTTCCTATCGCCACTTTACTATCTCTCTTTCTCTTTCTTTCTTTCTCTCTCTCTCTTTCTCCCTCGCTCGTTGTTCATGCGCCTCTACTAGAACCCCTTCCACAATACCCACTCCCTTCACAATGCAAACCTCCCATCGTTTTCATACGGGTAACTCTCTTTTTCCTTCTACCCTTCTTTTCTGCTCTTTTTGAAGTGAAAACTTCTTCAGTTTCTTTTCTTTTCCATTCTCATCGCTATGTTGAATAGTATATAGTCTCATCTTTTAACGACTTCAAAATTAAATTTGATATTTGTAAACCGATTATACGAAATTTTGTACTAGTGAGTATAACGGTATATACGCCAAGAGGCGGTTAAACGGTAAATGAGAATAAAAAGCAATCAAATGATACGCCTAGACTCTCAAAATTACCTAATTTGTAATTTAGGTCATAGTAAAATGTAGATACAAAATACAGATCTCTCTCTCTCTCTTTCTCTCATTCTCTCTCTATGTCAGTGTCGTTTCTCTACATAACCTAACCACACGTCCCACACGTTTAACTGCATAATAAGGATTCTTCGATTTATTACACAAATCGAAGAATTCTTCGATTTATTACACAAATCGAAGAATTCTTCGATATTTTTTTTTTTTTTTACTATTCCAATATCTTTCATAACCAATGATCTTTATATATTTGAAAAATTTTTTAATAACTCGACGATCGGTAAATGTAATACTTTAGAGGAAATGTAAAAATAATTAAAAACAATCACTTTTTTTTCGTCGCGCTCGTACATTATTTCATAATTTCTCACGCCTACATAGAGATATATATACATATACATATATGTCGTATTAGCTCATAGTGTGAAGAATTTCGAGTTGGCGAAATACCAAAACGATAAAACAAACTTCACCAGAAAAAAAGGACCATTTTGGAAAATGTTACTAATCAACGAAATATTTATCACACGTACGTAAAATTTTGGCGTGCGCGCGCGCGAGATTCAAAATTTATCGTAATGATTGAGCAGTAATAAGGAAAGAATATTATTTCTTGTATTGCTGCTAACTTCAATTGAATATAAAAGTTGTCCATTAAGTCAATGCGGTTTTTTACTTATTGTTAGATAAAAAACCACACGAAATTATTGAACAATCTATTATTTCACAAGAAAAACTCCTTTCTCTCCATTGATAGTAAACTAAACTATGCGTGTATTTATTAATATATGCATATATTAATCGAGAAAAGTTAGTTTTAACTCGAGAGAAGAGCTCACGTTTCAGCAAATACTCCTTTATGTATATAACTGCTAATTTAAGAACGATTTACTCACCGGAGTCAAAGTCGGCTCCTCCAGCATCCATGCCACCTGGATTTCCATACTCTGCCGAAAAAAAGAGAGAGAGAGAACAAAATAAAAAACTATCGTTAGAAATAAATGATCGTGGAAAATCGTTCGAGAAATAATTTATATGTGTGCGTGTAGATCATCGGAGATAGAGAGATAAAAATTTCATTTTTAATCAGATTTTACTTATAAATTTATCTTCGTCGAGATATTAGCAAAACAAAACAAAATAGAAAAATGGAAACAAATATCTCCGACAATCTTGGAAAAATGAAAATATTTATCTTACGTAATTTAATATGCGAATTTTTGATCGAAAGATTGAAAGAAATAATAATAATAATAATAATAACATCAAATAAAATACACAATTAAAAGGAATCGAATTTATCGATCGAGATTTGTATTGTGTTTCATGAGAGAAAAATCCATCCTGATTTTTTCTTGATCCTTTTAAAAGGATCAAGGATAAGTCGAAGGGGAAATAGAGACAACACGTGCGAGATTTACTCGAGTCCGTTGGTCGTCGTTGTCGTTGTCGGTCGTCGTCGTCGCTTCACCGTCGCTAGACGACGTCGACTTTGAGAAGGCGCGCGCGCATCCTAACCCCTCTACCGTTCCTCAGCTAACCTAAGAAATAGTGTCATGCTCATCGCAACTCTTTCTCTTTCTCTCTCTCTCTCCCTTTTCTTTCTTTCTCTTGCTCTCTTCCTTCTGATGTCAGCATGCGCGCGCGCGCCTACACGATTTACATAGCAGATCCTCGTCGAGAGAGGTTACATCACGCTTACTCGCCCGCACGAAACGACGAACATCCGTAAAGGATATCGTCGTCGTGTCATCGCGTCGTCACATCACCGAACTGCATGTGCCAACGTGTATGCATGTACAATATGCGTTACACATATACACACACGCACGCACACAACACACACACTCGTATGCAGAATAATCAAAGAATTTTCAATGGAAATCGATTTAAACGTAGCTAATGGTTGATGAGGAGGAGTGTAGTAGTAGATGATGATGACGATGATGATGATGATTAATGGTGATGGTGATGGTGATGATGATGAAGATGTTGATGATGTTGATGATGTTGATGATGTTGATGATGATGATGATGATGATGATGATGATGATGATGACAAGATGATGTTGATCATGTTGATGACGACAACGACGTAATCGACGACGATAATGACGACCAAAGGAAAAGAAGTGCCGCGGATAGAGGGGGAAGTAGGAGGTATCTCCTTGGCCGTTGCGTGTGCTCGGCCATCTTGAATCCTTGTTGCCGTAGAAAAATCGTATTTTTCATGGTAATTCTTCATAAAATTGATTCGTTGGTTATTACCTTCTTGGAGAAGTGAAGGAAGAAAGAATGCTCGAGACTCGTTACTATCCCGAGACTCGCTCGCGCGCATTTTTAACGAGAGAAAGAGAGAGAAAGAGAGAAAGAAAGATAGAGAAACAGATAGATAGATAAATAGATAGAGAAAAAGAGAGAGAGAGAAATACGGGAGAAGGAGGAAAGGAAGGGAAGAGAGCGCGTGTTGAGAAAGAGAGAGAGAGAGAGAGAGAATGAGCGCCTCTCTTGCTCGTTTAACCGGAGGCGCCTCCGTACGGCAGAGCACGGGGCTCGAGGTACCACACGACGAGATGTCGGCTCGCGCGGATCTGCGACACGGAAAGAGAGATTCCCCCTCCCCTTAGCTGTCGAGGCTTCCGCGTCGGTGGCGCGGCACCGATCTAACGGCGTTTACCACGCGGATACGTGCTTCGACTCCTCCTTACTTTGTGGCTGATCGTCCAGGCTCTCCCGATCGGACATTTCTCCTCTCACGCTCCTTTTTCTGCTCGGTTCCACGCGTCGTCGTTCTCGCGATGTCTTCCTTGTTAGCAGCACCAGCAGCAGCAACAGCAGTGGCGGCAGCAACAGACCCCTGTACGATCTAAAAGCACGCACGCACAGCCAGATTTCCTCCTTGCGGTGCTACCCCGACGTTATCACCGCGCACACATACACATACACACCAAGCAACCAACCAACCAACCGACCGACCGACCGACCGACCGATCCGACCAACCAACCAACCAACTCGGCCAATCCAGCACACACCACTTGCGAATTTTCCACTTCTTTACACACCACGACCCGACCGCCGACCGACCGACCGTCCGTCCATCCACGGCACCAGTCGTCACCACCACCACCACCGCCACCTCATCCACATCCACCACCTCCACCACCGCGGCGACGACGACGACGACGACGACGACGACGACGACGATAGCGAAGACGAAGACGACGACGACAACTACTACTAACTACTAACACCACAACGACGGCACCGCCACCTCCACCTCCTCCTCCTCCTCCCCCTCCGTAACCACCAGCAAACCAACACCACACAATCGTCCGTTCGTTCGTTCGTCGTTCGCCTACCCGCCGGGCTGCCTGCTTGCCAGCCTGTCTCCTGCCTGCGTGCCTGCCAGCCTGCCTGTTTGCCTACCCACTCGCTCTCGCTAACTCGCGGTTCGTTCGCGCTCTCTTAACCGTTCCACGCTCGCTTCTCGCTCGCTTCTCGCTCTCGCCAGAAACCACCAATCCCCTCTCTTCTTCCCGATACAATCTGCGCGAAAGAGAGAGAGGCGAGACAAAGAGAACCAAGTTTCGGGAAGGAGAGAAAAGAGCGAGCGAGTGAGTGAGAGGAAGAAACTATAACGTGCTCTCTCTCTCTCTCTTTCTCTTTTTCTCTTTCGCGCATCTATTCTACGCGAATCTGTACGACTCCTCTTAATTGAACGACGTGTCTATCTTTCCTTTGCTTTAACATATATATATATACACATATGTATGTATGTATACATATATATATGTATATACATATATATTATGCGCGCGTACCCATTTTTGAAAGAAAAATTTCTTTCTCTTTGGCACGATCCAAAATTCTCTCTATCTCTCTTTCTCTCTTATCCCGGCGTCGAATTTCAATTTCACCGAGTATTTTGCTAACTATCCTATCGAAACGTCTTCTGTCTCGTTTCGTTTAGTCTCTCTTGTCATGTCACGTCACGTCACTTATCTCGCCCCCTATTGGTTGAACTACGTATCATATTAACTTCAACGGTATAGGTAGTTACACTTTTATCCGTCAAATGTCGCTACTAATCGTTTAATCTTCCTTTCTTTCGTATTAGCGCACAGTTCTCATGTGACCAACAACGTTATTTATGCCAATTCATAATCGACCAATCACATTCCTCTGTTACAAGAGCCAAACAAACGCAAGCATTTTTCATTGCAAATCTATGAAATATAATAATTTCGGTTACATTATCATTACACAAATGTTAAAAAAATCTGATTATTATCACTTAACGTACACAAAAATAATATCTGTTAAATGTTGTAAAAATTTGTTATAATATGAAATAATAAAATATAATTAATAGAGCATTAGTTATAAACAAATATACTTAAAAATAAAAATTTTCGATCTACGAGTATCATAATAAAAATAAAAAAATACAAAAAAACATTATTTTACAAGAACAATATTTAAAAGGAGAGTTTTTTCCGTATAGATATGTCTGGCATCAACTAGGATTCACCACTGATCGCATGTCGATCCGGTACTACCCGTTAAACAAGTATATATGTGTGTGAGCTGTATACGTGTATATCAGAAAACGTGTTATAATTCCATCGAAAATATAGGGAGAAAACACAAATATAAAAAAAATAAAATTATTTGCTATAATAGAAGTTTTTAGAATTTATGGATACACACATATTGTTATCATGTTAAAAATATAGAAGAACTAAAAAGTTATAATAAAATCAATATTATAAAACACAAGTAATTACTATAATTTCTTACAATAAATATTATACTATTTCTTTCATGTTCAATATTATAACAGTATAAATTAATCCAAAAATCGGATTCTTAGTTTTTCTGTGATATATAATAAAAATGTTTCTGTGGTAAAAAAATATCGTGTTCATTCATTAAATAATAATTAATTATTATTTAAAAGATTGTTATTTTACACATAAAAATTCATCTGATTCTAATTTATAAATAATATTTTGAATCCAGGTAAAATGACTAGAAATTCGTGTATAAAGAGAATACGAATGACTATTACAAGTTTCTGTTGCTCCTATTACAGTTGAACTAATCCCTGAACTAACAATTCCTCTTAAAAACCATAAATTTCCAACTTGAAATAAAAGTCCTCCTCCACTATCACCATCACAGACAGATGTCCCTAAAATAAATGCACATTAAACTTTTGACATAATAACATATAACTTATAAACATTTCAAATACGGATTTTTATCTGCTACCAACCATTAGTATAACCCGCACATAATTTGTCATAAGTTATTAATTGCTCATATATAACAGAACTGTTTGCAGCTTTACATTGAGTAGGAGGAACATAAGGCAGTCTTGTGAATTGGAGATGAAAACTTGGTGACCCAGTTTCAGTATTGCCAAATCCCGAAACTATCCCAAGTCCAGATTCAACAAAAGTATTATCTAAACATGCTGGTAATAACCAAGATGTAAATACAAAAGGTACTTCGATCTCCAAGAGAGCTATATCCCAACCATAATTCCCTTGTAAGCCCAAATAATTACAATGGACATAAATTTTTTTCACCTAAAAAATGATATACATAATATATTTTACACACAATTAATATGTAACTTACATCAATTCGATGTTTCACATTTTATTGAATATAACATTGACTTTTTTCGTTCCCGTACCCTAGCTTTTTTAACAAAACGAGGATCATGATTTTCATAATCATAGTCACGAACAGTATTTCCAGTTGCTATATAATACCTTCCTGGATTATTTACTCTACTAATTGTTTCATCGTAAACACAATGGGCAGATGTAACAAGGAAATTCTCTTTTATAATAGTTGCTCCACAAATAAATTTCTTTGGTCCATTAAGACTTTTCTTTTCATACAAAGTAGCATGCCAGGGAAAAAAATCAGCATTTTCACCTTTTACAATGAAAGGTCTAGCGTTTAGAGTTTGCACATATCCACATACTAAAATATGTATTAAAAAGAAAATTAATATGTTCAAATTTATGCAATAATAATTATAAATGTACAAATCACGTTGGAATAATATAAATATACAAAAATATAGAAACAAATAATATTCAATACAATAAATCTTAAAAGATAATAAAAAATCTTAAAGTTGCAACCTTAAATAAGACATAACTGTTAAGATAAGATTAAAAATTTTAAGTAAGAATTTATTTAATTTTGATTTATTAACCAATAATAAAATTGGAATAATGCTATAATATTATTTAATGTACTGATTGTATTTCCTAAAAATTTGTTTACTATACAGTTTTCTTATATGCACACAATTGATACTTTATTTAGAATTATATTTATAAATATGAGGATTCGTTGGATGGTCTGAATTTTTCTTACGCGTTTGGTATGTTAATGGCAATTTGAATATTATTCGAATTTGGAAAATTTGCATATAATAATTTTGTTAAGTGAAATTTCGAATAAAAGAGAAAAAATGTTATTTTTATCCGAATAAATTTGTAATGTCATATTTCCTTTTTCGATAGAAACATTAAAAGATAACTTACCTGGAATACATTCTATTGGATCAGGTTTCCATTGACCTCTTTCGTTACATATAACTTGATCCCTTTGTGTCGATAGGAATGTCGATTGTTTATTATAACCGTTTCTGCAAGTTAATTTAGCTTCTGTTCCAGGTAAAATTTCAGATTCGCAAGATGTCCATTCATTGTTATAAGTACAATCAGCAAATGTTGATGCAGAAGCCAGTGCTTTACAAGTTATTTCTAAAATAAGGAATTATTTACTAAAAAAGTAATAAAAATTATTACAATAAGCATATCATAGACATAGCAATATTGAAAAACTTCATTGTAATAATATAATCCTTAAGATGGTAATGCTTACTAGTACAAACAGGAATATTTAACCATTTTCCTTCTATACCACAAAATACATCACCGGTACCCCTTTGTATTTCGTATCCGGGATTACAGGTATAAACTAAATAAGATCCGACGGGTAATTTTACACCTTCCTGCACATCACAGTTTTCTTGTGTTTGGCATTGCGTCTTGTGTAATTGACGATTACCATTCACTGGCTTGGGTGGTGTTATACAAACAATAGGTTTTGGTACCCATGAAGAAGATGTAGTGGTAGTACTTGTTGATGTTGTTATAAGTGGTGCAGGTGTAGTAGAAGTCGTACTTGTTACAGTTGAATCACGACATGAAGGAAGTGGTTTAGATGTTTCTAATCGGAAAAGTATATCTTGGATCCAGCTTATGTGGCTTGAAATTCGTGTATAAAGGTTATAAGAGTCACTACAACGTTTTATATTGAAACTCAATACTGTACTAGAAACACCTCTTAGAAACCATAATTCTCCCGCATTAAATAGCAGCCCTCCTCCGCTATCACCAGCGCAGAGGGATGTTACTGGAACAAAAATATTCATCACTTATTATTATTTTTGAACATATTTAATGGGTGTAATTATTACATACCATTTCTATAACCTGCACAAAATTTGTCTGGTGTTATAAACTTCTCCCTATGAAAAAGTATAGCTACTGATCTACATTGAGTAGTAGTAACATAAGGCTGATTAATGGATTGTAAAACATCATTTGATGTATTTAAAGCATTTCCACTGAATCCTGCTATTATCCCGTTTCCAAACTCAGTAATAGCTTGATCTAAACATGCAGGTAATAAAAATGCTGTAAAATTAAATGGTGTTTCTATCTCCACAAGTGCTATATCTGATGCATAATTTCCTTCCATACCGTGGTAATTACACGGAACATAAAAGTTTTTAACCTGAAAAATAATATATAATACAATTTCATAATTATTATGTTGCTTACAGATACATTATTAATTAAATGTTTTTTTTATTATTTAATATAAGAATTAATTTTGCATTTCCAATACCTTAGACTTTCTAACGTAAAGCGAATTATGCAAAACAGAATCATAATCACGATGAACGTTCCCAGCTATTACATAATACTCTTTCGGGTCGGCTACAGTTTTTAACACTTCATCAAAAATACAATGAGCAGCAGTAACAAGGAAATTTTCTTTTATAATCGTTGCGCCACAAAAAAAAGACTTCTCGCTCGTAGAACTTTCTGATTTATATAAAGATGCATGCCATGGAAATTGAGAAATTACTGCATTTCTGCCACTTGCAATAAGCGGTCGTATGTTTGGCGGAATAACTCCACATACTAAAAATTAAATTAGTGAAACTAAATTATTCATAAATGAAGTAAACATACAAAATATTTTAATTCTATTACTCTTTACAATGTTTTAGTTGTAAGTATTCATTATAATATTAAATTAGATATAATTTACATGTGAAAATACAAGATGATTGCAAAGATAAGGTAAAAGATTTTGACAGGAGTTCCATTTGATTTAATACTTTAATTATTTACTTTAGCAATCTATAGTTGCTTCCTAACATTTATTAAGGAGGAGGAGTGTTAGTGTTGACAATATTTCAATAGCATTCCTAATAAAAATATTGAGAATTAGCGCACCTGGGATACATTCCACTGGATCTGGTTCCCATAAACCATTTTCATTACAAGTAATTTGATTTCTGCGTTTGATTAGGAATGTCGTATCTTCTCGATAGCCGTTACTACACTTTATTGTTGCTGTCGTGCCGGGCAAAACAGAAGACTCACAAGATATCCGTTGGCCACTATACATACACGTTATATTTGTTGACGGTAATAATAATGATTTACAACGTACTTCTAAAATGGCAAAAGATCTATTTTAAATAATTAAAAGTACTAGGGAAGACATTATATATGCATAGAACAATATTGCTTTAATGGTTTTTATAAGAAAATTTCAAATATTAATACTCACCAGTACAAAGTGGAATATTGAACCAATTTCCATCTGGACCACAAAATACATTACGCGAGCCAATTAATATGTATGAAGGATTACATTTGTAAAGTAAAAAGGATCCAAGGGGTAATTCTGTACCTTCCTGCACATCGCAGTCTTCATTTGTTTTGCATTGTAATTTATGTAATTTTCGATTTCCGTTTTCAGGCTGTGGAGGTGCCAAACATACATTTGCTTTTACTGCACCATTTGAAGTAGGTATGAATATTAAAAAGGCTATAAAATTAAAGTAATTATTTAGTTGTCTAATCACTTGTCAAGAAGATTTTATAAAAAAAATCATTCAGAGCAATAAACAAAAACATATAAAAATAAAAGGACGTGTGCATATTAACTTGTGAATTTACACAAACCTTCCCTTTACTGTTTGAAATAAATCTTATTGTAATTGTTTTTTTTTTTCTAATAAATAATATTATTCTTCAAGTTCGCGAATGTTTTATAATCATATATAAAGCTAGTTTCTGGTTTCGTATAACGAGAGTCACCCAATATTGATGTACTAAATCATTTATAATTCTCATATTTTATTTAAATATTATATTTATTTAAAAAAAAAAAACTTTTATTTTTGATTATATCAAAGAAAAGTTTTTACTGGACTTAATTCAGCAAATTAATTTTTATATAAAAAAAATATAACATATTTTAAAAGATAAATCAACATGTTTTTAATATTAAAGTTTCCTTATTAGTGTTACTGGGATTTTCCAAATTTGATAACCTTTCAATTCTTCTTTCGTAAAAATGTTTGCTTATGTCATTGTGACGTTATGGCACGTCCTGTCACTGATTTATACATACAGCGTGTTTCATTTCAAAATTTTAATGATTTAGACTTTGAACATACACGATGAAAAATTATTAAATTAATGAACATTGATGAAAGGAGTCTAATTGATAAATAAATTTATCATTTAAATGTCATTTGAAGTTAAGTTTTCTTGATGCTATAATTGAATGAAATGTCAAAACAAAAATATAAGTTAGATACACTTTAAACTCATATTAATAATTTTTAAAATTTATATTGTAGTTAATAAATGGTTCTTCTTATTTTTGTATACTCACAGCCACATGTAATTAAATATAAACACTTTCTATCTATGATTTTCATTATAAACAATAGGATATTATAGAAAATTTATATTTACATGAAAATAATATTTAAAAATAGAATTATTTGGTATCCGGTTGTCAAGCATCAACTAATATTCACCACTGATTGTGCGTCAATCCGGTTTTACCCGTTTAACAAGTTCACAACTGCACTACTGTCTTTTTCTCGCCGTAAGGCAGCACTCGTATTTATGTTTTACCTTATCAGGCGCAGCTTTTGTATTTTATATGAATAGTTTTGAGATAAATTAAAATAAATCTTACATTTTTAAAATAAGTTTACATTCAAGTACTATTATTAAAATTTGTAATTACAAAGCATCTTTTCTAGTTATTAAAAGAACTAAGATATAATAGTAGGAAACGTATGAGGAAACAATTAAGTGTTAGGCGCAGTAATTACTTACCACAGTAAATGTGTTAACATTTATATGTATTTGATTGTATTGAATACATTTATACCGATAAACGCGCATTATAATCATGTAGTTTAGAGGAAAGATATAAATATGGAGATAAAAAAATTCTTGGCTGTGGTAGAAATTCTTTGTAATTTATCAAAAATCGTCTTTGGATGAGTGAATGCAAACATTAATTTTAGTCATTTAATTTATGTTTCGTATAGTAAATTACATATTATTTATTTTGAATTATATTAAGATAAGAAACATTATAGAAAATTCGTTTGAAATCAATATTTTATTTCAATCATCATTTTCTTCTTAAAGATTGTTATTTTATATTGTGTGCTATGATTTAAAAATAAAACTATATATAGTGTATACGAATATAACACAACTTTAAAGATTAAACGTTGTAGTTACAAATAGATTTTACTAGTATCTATAAAGAATTCACTTATATTATTTTTTCTTTATAAATAAATTGTTTTAATTGACATGAACTTTTTTGTTTTTATATAGAATATCATAGCATGCAATTAAATATTATGGACACAAATATGCTACATTTGTCGATATAAATGCAAAGAACTTAATGTCAATTTGAATGTCAACAATTGTTTCAAGTCTTGTCATAATAAAATTATATTCTACTATTTCTTATGAAAATGATTAGTTTTCAATAAATATCAATTTACAATAGTTTCTACATTATCTGTAGATTTTGTATCAGTAGATTTTGTCGATAGATCAGAAGGTGGAACTGTAACGTTTTCTGGTTGTACAATATATGTTTTCTCTCCTACTTCTCTTGGTGGCATCCAAGTTGGTATAATCTTTGCGTGAAGACGCCATTTTCCATATTGGTTTGCTAAATGATTTTCAAATACGATATATTCGAGGACATCTTTTTTTAAAATTTCGCTTCCTTTCAATAAACGTCCAAACCTATCATAGACAGCTAAAATCTAGAAAAAAAAAGAAAAATAATGTTATTGCTATGCTGTCCGATGATACTTCATTGGTATTACAAACAAATGTATCAGACAAACGTCAGATGTCAAAACACTAAGGTTTGATTACATCACTGAATATATTTCTCTAACATAGTATAGAACTTTTGTAACCTGTTGACTATGAATGCGAAGAGTTAATTGTCCAAAGACGTTTTCCTTAGAAAGTATCTCATTACATCTTGCATGTACAACACGATGTGGTTCTAACGATTGCACATATTTCCAACGAATAGTTTTGTCCATAGTGTTGTGTAACATTTTCTTCAATTAATTAATACATATATTAATTTTAATTTAATTAATATTAATAGCAATAGAGTAAATGTATTAAAAAAAAGAAATCACTTACGGCATAGGCATTCTCTGTAACGTATTCTCTTAAAGCTTCCGTATCTTTCCTATAATTTACAAATTAATATTAAATATAACTTCAAAAACACATAATTGTTATTTTTTTTAATAACTTACGCAGCTAAGGCTTCATGGGCCTTTATATAAATATCTAAGGCTTCTTGAGGGAAATCTTTTAATACAAACGTATCTTGAAATGACTTTATTTTTCTAATTGCCATCATCGATTTTCCTTTCATCTTTACATCAGTCATTTTTTGCTTTGCTCCCTATGTTTTAATGATAGATTTGTTTGTTACATTGAATGATTATTTATATTCATTATATTACTATAAAGTAGTTTATATTCTATATAATTTTTATCGTACCTCTTTAGTAATCGTAGAGAATTTTCCATCGCCTTCCGGTGGTACATAAGATTCAAATACATTAGGAGTACAACTGATAAATATAGGCCTTTCCATCCATTGTTTTTGTGGAAACACTCCATATTGTTTCAACATTGAACGTCTTTTCTCCTTAAGCAGTTCTTTATCAGTCTCATAAAAATTAGGTAGATCTACTTTAATAACTTTTTCTTTCCTTTCTTTCTTAAATTTAGGATTCCAGTGTTTCCTTATATATCTGATTTGGTTTGAAGAATGTTGAGGGTACAAAATAAGACTTAACATTACAGGTGAATTATTCTATAAAATACATTATTATTATTATTATTATTATTATTATTATTATTATTATTATTATTATTATTATTATTATTATTTTAACAAGATTCGAAAATAAATTTATTTCTACAAAAACAATAAATACCTGGACATATTTTCCAAAGATACAAGTTGGACGTAATATATATTTTGCCATCATTTTGTTAATAATATGAAATATTTTTCTTATATTACATATAGTATACTAATTAGTATAAAATTAACTTTAAAAAAGTTGACAAATTGGTAACATGTGTACAACGTATTTATTATACTTTAACTATTTCATTCCAAATATTATAGGTTAGTTCGAAAGAGACCTATTACTTCTCTTCCCACTCTTTACAAAACAGAGCACGTGAGTTGATTATGATTGGCCGACTTTTTTACTATTAAATTGATTCGAATTCATTCAAATAACAGATTCTAACTTTTTGGAGGAAAAGAAATAAACATTATATGCTTATAATATAAGTATGCACAATATTCGTTTATAAAATATCTTAATAAAAACTTTTTATTTTATGTATAATAAATAAATATGAACAAGGGATAACATATAAAATTACCTGTGTTTATAAATTAATCCTATCAATTGCTCAAACAGGAATAAACGACTAATGAATAATATAAAATCAGTTCTTTGTTTTATTGTCAAGTTACATACTTGCATAAGAAATTATATTACGACATGGAGGAAGCGGTCTAGATGTTTCCACTCTGGAAATAGTTTCTCGAATCCAACTTATATGACTTGATATACGTGTATAAACAGAATAAGAATGACTATTACAATGTCTTGAACCACCAGTTAATGTTTCACCAAGACCGCTACTAACAATACCTCTTAGATACCATAAATTTCTAGTATTAAATACCAATCCTCCTCCGCTATCACCATCACAGACAGATGTTCCTATAATACAGATATTAATTGTTAGATATAATTTATAAACGTATTTTATTTTGCATATCGATTTTAACTATTTGTTATACCAACCATTCGTATAGCCAGCACAAAATTTATCGTCAGTTATGAGTTTTTCAGAATCAACGGAATTTATGGTAGATTTGCATTGATTAAGAGGAACATAGGGCAATAATACAAATTGTAGAATAAAACTCGATGATCCCGTTCCAGTCAATGCTGGATCGGTTCTACCAAATCCTGCGACTTTGCCTAAACCAGAATCAATAAAAGTTTCATCCAAACACGCTGGTAATAACAAAGATGAGAATACAAATGGATTGTCAATTTTCAAAATGGCTATATCCGAAGCATAATTTCCTTCGAAACCTAAATAATTGCATTTAATATAAATGTTTGTTACCTGAAAAATAATATATTATTAACTATATTATAGTTAATGTATTAACAAGGCACACACATAATTTTAACGTTAGATATTTAATTTGATAATTAAAATGAATTCTTTTCAATTTTCCATACTCTAGCTTTTTTGACGTATCGCTCGTCGTGTAGACTAGAATCATAGTCACGATAAATATTTCCAGTTGCTACATAATATTTATTTGCGTTGTCTACCCTTCGATTCGTTTGATCGTAAATGCAATGCGCTGCAGTAAGAAGAAAATTTTCTTTTATTATTGTTGCTCCACAAATAAATTCCTTCGGTCCACGTCGAGTTTTTTGAATATATAAAGTAGCATGCCATGGAAATTCAGCAACGTTAGGTATTGAGCCATTTACAATAAGAGGTTGTTGAGAGGTTGGGGCAATAATTCCACATTCTAAAAATTAAACCAGTGAAATTAAATTATACATAATTGAAATAAATATTAATAAATTTATATACAAATACTATTCCTTTTCAACAATATTCTAGTATATAGTACTTATAATATAATTGTAAATCTTAAATAATTATTAGGTTTGTTAGGAAATTATTTAATTTTAATTTATTTATAAAGGGACATGAGGAATTGGCGTTAGTTAGTTGCTACAATTTTTAAAGCATGAAATGATAGGTAATAAATTAAAATAGTTGAGAGATGGATAAATTATTACAATAGATTATGTGAAATTATGGCCCACAGTAAACATGTGGCCCACTTATGATTTAGTAAAATTTTTAATTATTTGTGTTATAACGACATTTAACTATTTAACAGATTTTTCATMAAATAAATAAATTAAATAAAAACATCATCATTGGATTAAATGTATCATAAATAAATAAAATATAATAGTAATTTACAAAAATTTGCAACATATTGCACTACTAGTGACCTTATAATTATAATCTTTTAATGTGAATTATCTCCAATCGTTTTATATTTGAAGAAATGTTTTCTAGCATGCTGAATCCTAATAATGTGTCTACAATAAAGCTTCATTAAATATTATATGGTAGTGTTTAAAATTACGCCCATATAGGTCTGGGTTCTTCTGGTTGTTTGGAAGTCTTAATTTGGTTAAGTATTCTAATATTAATATTAGGACTATTCGGGTTACGAGTATCTGCATGTATTATAACTTTATCAGGCAATACTTCGATTGAAGGAAAAAGAGAGTTATTTTTTTCATCATAAGTTTGAAACGTTATGTTGTCACTTCCAACATGAATATTAATAATCAGCGGACCTGGAACGCATCGTAATGGATTTGGTGGTTCCCATTCACCCATATTGTTACATATAACTTGATTCTCTTGGTTTGATAGATAACTTCCTTCTTGTTGATAACTGTTACGACAACTTAATGTTGCGATTGTTCCAGGCTTAACAGGAGACTCGCAAGGTTCATATTTATTATTAAGTGTACACTCAGCATACGTTGATTCTGAAGCCAACGATTTGCAACGTATTTCTAAAATAATGGAAGAATCATTTAGAAAATAATCCAAAATATTAGAGTAAGAATTGCATATAAATATTGATATATTCTTTGTTGTATAATAACGCTTAAGTTATAAATCTTACCAGTACAAACTGGAATATTTTTCCATTTCCCTTCCGGACTACAAAATACATCACCTGGACCGCTTATTTTGTATCCAGGATTACAAGTATAAATTAAATAAGCCCCATCTGGTAATTGTTTACCTTCCTCTACATCGCAATCGCTTTGTTGCCATAGACAATACCTTTTATGTAATTGTCGATAACCATTTACTGGCTGGGGAGGCACTATACAATTAATTGATGTTCTATTGGTGAATGGTTCTATTGGTGAACTAGTAGTAGTTGTACTTGTTCCTCTGGAGCACATTTCAGGATCTTCGTCTGATCCATCTACGCAATCTCTTACATTATTACACTTGAAATCACCGTCTATACAAGCCCCATAGTTGCAACGAAATAAAAATTTATGACAGCTAAGAAAAAAATGTTTATAAACAAGCAATATTAATTAAAAGATACACATGTTTAGAGTTTAATAAAATAATTAGATTAAAATCGTATCCTATCTCTTACTTCAGTGATTTACATTTGGAAATAGTTTCATCAGATTTATCTATACAATCAACTTTACCATCGCAAAGGTCTATAGCATTGATACATTGACCATTATCGCATCTGAATTGTTGTAAAGAACATTTTCCAGAATTAGTATTATCTATTTTATCCTTGCATCTAGGTAATGTTTCGTCACTATTATCAATACAATCTCGTTTTCCATTACATATCAGATCACCATCAATACAAGCACCATAATTACATCTAAATGCATATGCAGAACACACTATATTTTCTTTAGAACATTGATATTCTGTTTCATCTGATTGATCTTCACAATCTGGTCTCCCATCGCATAAAAGCGAGCCATTTATACATTCTCCATTGTTACATTGAAACTTTCCTGAACTGTAAAAGATATTTAAAAAATATAATATTTTCAAAATTTACATACATTGTTAATTTTCTACATTTTTTAACTCACCTGCATTGGTTTCCTTGTTGCGTCGATACAATATTTAAAATAGCTAAGATATAAAAGCAATTGTTTAATTATTTGTTAAGTTTTTTTAATTAGTTTAATAAATTAATTAAGTATACAATATTGAATATATATTTTGAAAATAATTTATCTAATAAATTATTAGCAAATGTTTACATTAATATACATTATTTTTGTCTATGTGTTTGCATATATATTATATTTAAATTGTATGTTATAATTAAAATGAAATTAATATAAATAAATAATATTTTAAATTTTAATCAAAAATACTATGTCTATTAATAGTTACAATGCTAAATCTTAGATTAATTGTATTTTGAATCGTTATCTTCGTTATATATATATATATATACATATATATATAAAAGATTTCTCTCCGAGTTCAAGGTTATTATATAGTCATACACTAAACTGGTTTTTGATTACTTCTAACATGAAGCATCATACATTCTTGGAATTAAAATAATTGGTATATCAATTGTATATTATAAACATTATATCGATTATATATAATAAACAATATTTTTAATTCGCATAAAAAAACAAAATTAATTTGTTTCTAGATGTAAATAAATTTCATTTAAATCTTATTATCGAATCTAATATTTATGACAAATTAATATCTATTCTTTAATAAAATAAATTAACATATGTTAAGAATTCAAAATCTTTCACAGTTATCATTTGCTTTATCGAAGATTTAAAAAATAAAAATCATAATAGAGTATTATTATTATTATTCTCTAAATTATATGTGATGTATATATATACTATATAATGTTTATTTTAAATATTGGAAAGTGTATGTAACAATACATGTAATATTTTGAATTGGGAAATATGTTTTTCAAATATAAAAATAATATATGTACACAAAAAAATAAATATTTTAATTACTTACTGGTAAATGTGATTAAAGTGTAATACTTTCTATTTACGATTTTCATAATTAACTGAAAATTAATAAAAAATAATAAAAAAAAAGAGAAAGTAACTGTTTTAAAATGAAAATAATATTCGTCGAGTGAAATTCTGTATCGTGCCGTTCTCTGTCAACGATTGGAATCTACTGGGATCTTCCTGCAGTGATTGTGTATCGGCTTGGAATTACCCGCCTAACCAAGCATTTAAATTTGTATTGGGACGAGACTATGTGTGTGTAGATCGATGATAACATATGTATAGATCCTATACCATTATGTATGAAGAAATAAATTTCTCTATATGGGAATAATAATATTCTACACTTATTGTAGAAATTCTGAGAAATCCATTCAAAATCAATTTGACAAAATTGATTGTGCGCTATATGTTATATGACATACTTAACTTATGACTTCATTTTCGTAATGATAAATTAGATATTTTATTTATAAATCTTATCAAGATTTTTTTTTGGAGGAAAATAAATATCTATAAATAATATCTTTTTCATATTTATTTCGTTAGATTATTTTTCTTTTTTTTTTCTTTTCTTCATCTTTTTCATTCAAAAATTCGTTCTTTTTTTTTTTAAGATTGTTATTACGTTCTAGCATTTATTTACATATTCATTGTTATTAGCATTTATAATTATTAACATATAAAATGTATCATCATAATGGAAGGAAAATAATGTATTATTGATATTATAATGTTATAGATTCTTCATCCCTGATTGAAAATGAATGTAAAGGAAGAATGGCTAGCCAGTTCAACATTCTATTATATATTATGGTTAAGGTAATGATATAGGAGATGATATATTACTTTTTTTTTTATATTCGAAATATTTCAATAAATTATTTCAAAGGATACGTCTTTTCTGCTATTTCTGTATTTACAATGTGTTTCACTATATATTCTGCTTGAAATTTTTCTACTTCTTCTTCGCATTCCTTCCAATCTAAAGTTTCATGTATACCATCCGATCCATATCTCTTATTATAGTGATCGTAATGTACCTAAAGAAATAAAATTATATAATGCTTTTATATTGCAATTAGGCGCATAATAGAATGAAGATATTTATCTCTTACATAATTTAAGGATAAACCTAAACCTGGAACTAATGGTATATCCATTTTCTCGTCCTTAAATGCTTGTTCCAAAGAATCTTCTGTTGCCATATTTCTTAAATAAGCAATAACCATAGAAATCATTTTTCTAATTTGATGCAACATGAAACTTTGCCCTTTTATTTCTATAATAGCAAATTCTAAATTTTCTGCGACGAACGTTTCTATGCATTGAAATTTAATGATATAACGTTTCGCCCGTGGATCCAATGGCTTTCTGCGGATATAAAAAAACATTGACTAACATTTTATAAAATAATATATATATATATATATATATATATATATATATATATATATATATATATATATATGCGTAATTAATAAATGGCACAACTAACACTTTAGACGTGAAATTATGAAAGTTATGAGTTCCTTGAAAAAGTTGCATAAATGAATTAATTTTTATCAAAGCTTCTGAACTTAATCTAAAATCAGTATATGGTTTTCCATCAATGACTGATAACTCCTCTATTCGTTTTTCAATGTCGCATTCCTCTCTGGATGGTAATGAAGCTTTATCTTCTGGTGCAAATGCAAAAGTAGGAAGAATATATCTATATGTTCTACCGCAACAATTTATTTTACTATTAAAACCCTTGGTAACGCGTTTGATACCAAATACTCTTATTTCATTTGGTAAGCAATCATTTATGCTATCTTTGTTGACTGTTTCCGCTAAAATAATGAAAATTACCAATTTAAACATTAAAGGTAAAATTATAATTGAAGATTTGTTTTAAAGATGTATCAGTTAAGAATATGCATCTTACGTAGCCTGAGTGAAACTACTTGTCTAGCAGCAGATACTCCCTTGTCTGTTCGTGCCGCTCTTTGAAAATTAAATGATCTTAAATTTTCAATATTTTCCATAGTAATCAAGTTATTTTTCAACAACGCATTCAACAAATCATTCTCGATAGTTTTCATGCCTGGATTAACTTGCATGCCGTAATAATCTCTACCGAGATAGCCCATCATCAAAGCGTAAGGCCTTTTTTTAATCCTTAATGATTCTACTTTTTGAATTTTTGCATCTGTATCTTCATTCTCATCTGCTCTTATCCTCTTTCTATTTTGATTATCTAGACTTTGTTCGTTGGTAACTGTGTCGATTTGAATCGACATATTTTTATAATTATTTGCACCTAAAAATAATATGATATAAGCATTTATAATTCAATAACAAGTTAATGCATCACATTATTTACCTAAAATGTAGGTTATGTGTTTAAACACGTTGTAACTACTAACTATACGATTCTTTATGCAGTGCAACATTTACAATAAATGTATTGTAAAAATGATATATATATATATATATATATATATATAATATAAATATTTTGTTTTAATATTTACGATGAGTCTTTTTTCTTTAACATTTATCAGACTTTTAAATATAAGTTAAAATACATTGTTAGGTTACGACTCTTAACCTTTGTTTGTTACGTTCATCATTTCAATTGATTATCCATAGAAAAAATATTACATAGATGTATGTATGTAAATTTAATGGATTAGAAAAATTTGTATTTTTCATAAAAGGACAAGAAGGGAAATATATTTTTTATCTTTCTTAAAAAATTGTTAAAAATTCTAACATGGCGGAATTATTATAAACAATTAAAGTTACTTCATCTCTTTCGATTTCAAACATTTCGTTTTCTATCGATTTTATCGAGTTATCGCTAATATCGATTGATCGCATTTGATTTCATCTAAAGATTGTTACACAAGTTGAAATTATTTTTTAAAATTTAACTAATTGCTACCTGCATACTAGACAAATATTATAGCTTGCATGAATATTAATTTTATTTATATTAACGTTTAAAATATGATTAATTTATACTATGATTTTCATAAATATAATTTGTATATGAGACATAAAAATATAACTACATTTTCATTGGTATATGTGATATTGATTTACGAATAATAAAAAAGATTTATCAAAGTATAATTATATATATATATATATATATACAATATATTCCAGAAAAATCTACAAATATGATATATACATTTAATACTAAATATTATCTGTCAAGACAAAAAAAAAAAGATTACTTTTTACATCAAATTAATCTTCCTCTTGAATACATTTTTCTACCAATTCCCTTAAATTTGGATTTTCCATAGCAGCTGCTATTCGTTCCTTGTCATTTATTTGTTTGTTTACTGCAATCAAATGAAAAACATTAAATAATACAACATTGCAAATTCAAATTCATTTTCAATAATAATTAAATATTATTATATAAAAGAAATAAGATATATTTGAGTGTATAAAATTAATTCATTCCTACTTTCTTGTTCGGTTGAATGTGTTCCTTCTTTGATAAAAATATCCAATTTAAATACTGCTACTAAATGTCGTTCAAGTTTTACTCTTATACATAATCCTATGAGTGTTGCCAATGAACAATGTGGCACTGTAGGATTAAATTCAACGCGTATTATTGAAATACCACTGGGAGTACTTCCACAAATATTAACACAATCTTCGTATATTATATCAAGTTGTTCTAAGGTTTGCGGTTTCTCTGGATCCTTGATGGTTCTCAACAAATCTAAGAATACGACAAAAGTATATATCTAAAAGATTAATTTATACAATTTTAATTTCTTTATGATGATATATAAAATAATATGAAAAATAGGATTAATTCTAAATATTGAATAATTGTTTATGATGAAAAGTAATCTTATAAATTGTTTGTATTGCATAACAATTAGACGTTTTGGATAAAATCAAAATGATTAATTGTAACTAAGACAAAAAATTATAATAAATCAAACTTACCGTAAACGGACTCTTTTAATTCTAAATCTGTTTTTAATGCAAATGCAGTTTGATTTTTAGAATTTACGACATCTGTCGTTCCCATGATTGTTTCTGGGAGTATACCATCTTTAATCTTCAAACCGATTGATAACTTTCGAAAAAATGATAACATATTTATTCACACTTAATATTGTATAACAGCATACTGTAAATAATTGGTACTTATAAATAATTGTTTTTAAGGTTATGTTCGGAAATTTGTTACCAGTCAGTCTGTAGCGATACAACCGTAGGTCGCGCCCCCTAAAAGTTACTAGAAGGCTAGGGAACCATGCGAACAAAAAGTAGTCTGTACGAGTCTGTACTAGTGTAGCCTTCCATGAGTGTACACTATGGAGGGTAGAGGTAAGGAGTATCATCTGTGTATATGAAAAGTGTCCGTCGAAATGCATTCAATTAGGATGGCGCCACATTAGCATCAGGGTAAATTTTAAAAGAAGCGCCAAATATTATTAGAGTAGGATTGAGAAATAAACAAGGAACACAAATTTTACCCATAACTGTTTTGTTATTCACATACTTTTTCATAAAATTAAATGATAAAAAATCATTAAACGTACTATTCACAGTTCATGAAATAAAATCACTCTAGCTATACGTTTTCTCATAATAATTCTTTAAGGTTATATTTACTACATTATTTTGAACTAGGCAAATAGTTGAAATTTTCAATAATTAACTACTTTAGTCGCCAATAATATTAAATTTTTTAACTCGACATACTTCAATTCGTTTACAATTGCTACATTCATACCATACCCTTTGTCTACACCAGCGTCATTCTGGAAGGTTTTTGAACTGTTATTTATAGCATACGCTGGACACTTTTTCAAATTTTCTCCCATAAGAGATGTTACCCTTACCTCTACCCTCCATAGTGTATACCAAAGTAGAAACGAGTCGCGTCCTCGAAATAAAAGTTATAAAGAAATTTAATCTAATATTATTTTTTACTGTAAAGAAACCCTCTACAAATTGTACGTATACAGCACCATCTTGCGTGACACAAGCAATATGTTTGTATATATAAATTTCTTTGTTTCTTATTAATTTACTTACATATTTCATTTTTCTTTAAATTATATATAAAAGCTTAAGATTATAATTGTTAGTCATTTAAAATGTATAAATATATCTCATCAAAATGTAAAACAAACACTCTTTTGAAAAAATATAAAACAACATATGAAATACTAATTCACATATTTTCAGCATTTATCAATATCTTGTCCTTTTTTATAGGGGTTGATGTCTTCGAAGGTACATCTTTTAGTGGGGAAGAGTTTGGAAGTGAAGGTAAACCTGTAATAGATAATATATATAATGTATATATAATTTGTATGTAGTAAATAAAAATATTTGATTTTACATACCTGTTACACTTAAATTTCTTAATCGTTGTTCCATATCTTCTAATTCTTTATTATTATTTGTATTAGTTGTCAACTTATTGTCATTATCATTATCATTTTCATTATCATTCATTAATTCTGCAAGTTCTTTTTCTAAATCTGAATCCGTTACAAAATCAGTATTTGGTAATACTTCTGATAACGCAGATTGTATATCTTGACAGTTTTCTAAAGTCTGAAACATTTAACAAATTAAATATAAAATGATATTAAAATTCTATTTCTAAATAATATAAAAATTTCTATAATAATAATACCTCATTTAAATTATCTATAACATTTCTGACTTTTTGCTCTGTTAATCCATTATTTTCAAATTGTGACAACAAATTAGAGCCAAGTTTGAAAGCATCAATTACGTTAATGTTTGAATGCGTATCCTGAATACTTAATATAAGATTACGTAAATTTCCAAGTACGTTTGCACGTTTCTCGATTATTTTATCTATTTGATTTTTTTTTCTCAAATGAGTTTTCGCTACTTGTCGCATTTCCTTACCCAAATACGCTTTAACTTTATCCATAGCGAGCATTTTTTCTTTCTCCAATAATTCAATTTCCTTTTCGAGTTTATTTTCTTGATTCAACAGTTCGTACAATGTCTTTTCTACTTCTGAAATTTCGTTAATTGTTTGTGTAGAAAATTTAACTAACAATTCGTCATTGATTGAACTCTTTCTCAAAACAGCCTTTTTATGATGCTTAAGCCAAGTCAATGCTAATTTCAAAGTATTTTCATTAATATTATATCGACATTCTTCTTTTTTACATTTTTCAAGAATTTCTAACGTAGAAATAAGGACGTTTTCTTTATCATTGACCATCGTAGAAAGTATAAGTTCAGCTATTTCTTTTGTTGCTTTAAGATGTACGTATTTGGTGTTAACATTTATATTCTGTCCTATTACGTAATCTTTCATTTTATAAAAGGACCATTTAAGTGGCTTTTTAATAAATATATCCAAAGACCATATAGCCCAAGATTCGCTTGATTCTTTTAAAAATTCTTCTTCTGATATTATTTCTCCATTCCTGATAAAAAATAAAATATATGATATAAATAACAGTAACTCTTCAATATTCTTTCTATTTTATTCTATTAATCCTCTGCACTATAATAACGTGTAACATGAATAAAACAAATTATACAACTGCATTTACCTTAGCATTTCTTCGATAACTGTTGTTAAACAAAGGGGAGTGCAGCCCTTACGTTTAAAGATTTGATTCAAATCGAAGAGAGAAAAATGACATTGTTCTGTATGCCTTAACCATGTATAAATAAGATCATTCCAAAATTTGTATTTTGATACCCAATCCTGTTGATTAGCAGATTTACTACGGAATGGAGAAAATAGTGCATTCATTCTATTATCCTGATTCCAACAATCTGGCATTTTGTCAGATGGTAATGGTAACATTTCATTTGATTCATTTTTCTCCAACATGATTTCTTCTTTTCTTTTCTCTTATTTTGATAATTATTACCACGCACTTAATTCTAGAAAACGATGTTTCGATTAATACTTATTTATAAAAAATACCACTTTTTGTAGGTTATGAAATCACATATTCAGTCTTTATTTTGTTAAATCATAGTCAAATTGTTACTCAAAATTGCGATTTATTTTTATTTATTGTTAATTATTAATAACCTAGTATTATTTTACTAATTATATATATACATTGATATTATGTAATATATATTTACAAAAATATGCGATAGAAAAAGGCAATAAAATTAATTCGTTACTTTTCGTATGTACGTAGTACACAATAACAAAGGTAAAAAGGTTATTGCATATTCAAAATCTAGTTATTTTAATATACATATATATATAGTAAGAAGCATAAGTGAACCAATAATCACTAGTTTTGTATAAATCTTTATTTATTGCTAAGAATGTAGAAGAATATTAAAAAATGAACATTATAGTAAGTTTTATTACAGTTAGAAGTAACACATCAGAAATTTTGTCAACAAATAATATCTCCTCGTTTAGCATTGGCAAAATAAATGGATTGACTCGGTTTTGCACCTGTCCGTAAAAGGAATGTTTACGTAGAATGTTTCAGCAGTATGTTTACATCTAGCAGTTTAATATGTTTACAAAATATTAGTTTACGTTTCAGCACTGAATTTCTTGCAATCAGTCGAATGGAAAAGTATGCAAGTAAATTAAAGCAAATATGAAGGCAATTGATTCAAATTGTTTAAAAAAAGTAATTTCTTCTTTGAATAATGGCTTATCAACACGTGAGACAGCGCAAAACTGTAATATTAGTCAGTCGACAGTGCAGAGAATAAGAAAAAAATACTGTAAAAGTATGTTATTAAATGTTGGAGGAAGACCAAAAAAATTATCACCACAGGATGAACGAAGAATTTTACGGTTTGTCACATCTGGTGAAGCTTCAAGTGCCACTATAGCTGCAAAATTATTAAAAGAAGATACGGATATAACAATAAGCAAGTGGACAGCACAAAGAATCCTCAAAGAAGCTCAGTTTAGAAGCATTAAGAAAAAAAAGCCGATGTTATCGAAAAAAAATATAAAACTCCGTTTAGAATTTGCCAAAAAAATATCAAAACTGGACAACTACTGAATGGGAACGTGTTATTTGGTTAGACGAGACCAAAATTAATAGAATTTATTCAGATGGCATGTCATGGTGCTGGATTTGTAAAACTGAAAGACTTAAACCACGACATGTAAAGCAAACTGTAAAACATGGTGACGAATCATTAATGTTTTGGGGCTACCTAACAGCATTTGGTGTTGGATCACTACACCGAATTATGAGGGAGGGCATCATGAATCAGTACAAGGATATTTTACAAGATCATCTTATAGATGCTGTTGAAAATATGCCTTTTGAAGAAGAAAATGTAATTTTCATGCATGACCGAGACTCTAAGCACACTGCTAAAAGTATAAAAAATTGGCTCAGTACACACAAATTTTCTGTTCTGTATTGGCCTGCACAAAGCCCCGACCTCAACCCCATAGAGAATTTATGGGATTTACTAAAAAGACGACTTCGGGACTCATATGATTCCCAACCAACTTCAATTACAGATTTGTACGATAGAATTCAAGAACAGTGGGGAAAAATATCTCCGGATTATTGCAAAAAATTAATAAAAAGTATGCCGAAGCGAATTAGTGCAGTTTTGCAAGCAAAAGGGTTGTGAACGAAATATTAAAAATAAATAATATATTAAATATTGCCAAATATTTATATATATATATGTATATATTCATTATATTCATATTATTTATTAATTATATTAATTAGTATTTAACATATAAAATCAAAAATATAAATATAATGTAAAAAATATCTCGTTTCATTAATTACAATTTTTAATAAATTTTAGAAAAACAAATATTTAACAAATTATAGATATTTTAATTTATGATCCATTAATTATTATATATATACTCACGTATATAAATTCTTTATTTAACCTGTCTATCTATAACATTAATTCAATAATCATTAACAATCTGTGTAAGTTGAACGATATTAATTATGGCATTAACAAGAAAATTCATTCGAATACTGTACGTTAATAAATTTGTTAAGTATATCTTCTATTTATAAATAGTTTGTATGTGAAAATAGTTCTATTTTTTTTTATTCAGTCTTGTTGCATTCAATATCTTTCATATGCATTTGGCATAAACTATTATTCCTTTATTTGTTTATTTTATTTGTTCTTTTCTGGACGGATTTATGATATAGTTGCACCAGTTGTTTTTTCAACTATTTAATATTATTCTCCTAATTCTTTTAAGAGACTACTTAATCTTTTATTACTTGCTTTTATAAGATCTCCAGTTTTTTTTCTAATCGTTGAACCTCTTCATATTTTTCTGATTCAATTGATGGAGCGTCGCCACCACCTATTATAGAAGATTCTTCTAATGTTTCCTTAACAACAGATTGATTTAAATCTTGGAAAGGTTTCATCGTGCAAACTTTAATATCGCACAATTCATTTGTCAAGGATCCAATTTTTTCTTCGTCTGGCAAATTATTGAATTCCATTTTTGCATCACGTGAGATAAGTAACGATGATGTCAATGTTTCAGATAATTTTGTAACTTTTTCTAATATATCTGAAGTATATATTTATAAATATATTTTATTCATATAATAAAAAAATATAATCTCACTGAAATTTGTATTCTTCTTACTTATCAGACATATTACCTGTTAAATCTATCGTCTCAGAAGAGAAATTAATTTCGCTTTGTTGCATAAAACTTTCTCTGCTAAATAAATGTTGCCTAACATTGGATAAATGTCGAGACTTTAATTTTCTCTGCATGCTCTGTTCATCAATATCTTTTGCCATTTTTTGCGGTGTTTTGAATATTATAGTTTGTTCTGTGCGTATGATACGTCCAGCTTTTATATAAGGAATTAAAGATGATAAATTTGCTTGTGTCCTCGGTACGCTATTGGCTGGTTGTATCGATAACGGTGGTTTATAATTTTGCACTATAATATTAAATAATTGTTAAACAAATACAATTAATTTAGTAATAGTAATATTTAATAGTTTTTTTTTTATAAAAACCTGTGTATGGCGTTCTTATATAAGTTAAGTTTTTTCCTTCTTGCGGCAAACCGTAAGCTGTAGTAGAATAATTTATACTTGAATCTAAAAATAAATAAATGAAATATGAAATTAAAGTATTCAGAAGTATATTGAAAAGTTTCATTTTCATATCATTACTGTGAAGCATATCCCCTTGTCCCATGCTTGCTTTGCCATAATTAGTATTCATTAACATTGAATTATTCATAACGTTGACTAAAGCAGGCTGCAATCGTTTGATTACATTTAATATCAATTCGCATCTTTTAATGACTCGCAACTGTTGCGGTTCGGTAGCATTTTCTACCAAAAGCTTTTTTGCACTTGCATCCGTCTCAAATATAGCTGAAAACATATAATATTATTATTATGATTTTTACAAACAATATCATAAATACATATAATATATGTTATCAATGTATGTCACCTGCTTTTAATTCTCGAATCATCATTATAGTTTGTCTATCGATATTATCACTTCCAATATCATTTACAGTTACAGTTAATTGGCTAGACAATGAAACTGCTCTTAAAACAATACTTTGTACTTGTTGTAGAGTTACAGCTTCTCTATTGTCAAAACAATCAGACATGATACGTATACGTTCTTGAAGATCGTCTAAAACTACCTAGATAGTAAGTTGCACTGATTTATTCTTAGTTATTTGTTGAATATATTTAGAGATATGCAGTTAAATTACCTGGCAATAAGCAGCAGAATCAATAATCAAATTAACTGTATTATGTAATTTATTCATCTCTAATTGCCATTGAGATGTTAAAAGTTTAACACTAGCACGAAATTCTTTATTATCCGGATGAAGGTAGAATGCAGTGATAGCAGCAATCAATTCACTTTCTAACAATTCAATACTTGCTAAACAATTTCGAATTTTGTTGACACCTAAAATGAAATAATTATATTAATACATATGTTTATATATATATGCTTGTTATAAGCATAATTTTAATAACAGAATCATAACTGTGCAATGTGACAAAAGCAGAACGATATATGTATATGTATAAATATATTATCATATGAACAAATAAGCAAATAGAAGTTACATTTAAAATTAATTTGATACGAATTCTTATGTCTGTCACATTGCATAATATATTATTTTCTATTGGTTTTACGAACGCTCAACATCTCTGCAACACGCGTTAGCAAATATTCCGATTAGCATAGCTTTATCCGTAAGCTGATCAAAATCTTCAATTGCGCTATGTAAATCGTTTTTAGATCTTTTTTTAGCGGTTAATGTAATTCCGCACGTCAAGACAAGTTTTCTCAAAGCATTAAAAGGATCGCTAAATACTTCCATAACAAGCATTAACACTGAAATATTGACTTTGCGTTCTAAACGATATAATGCGTCATTTAAAGTATTCATGAAGAGATTATTGACGCTAGGATCAAAAGTTTCAGAGCATAATTGGGATTTTAAATTTTCGTATTCTCCCATAATCGATCGACAAGCTGCTGATATTGCTTCAAAATTTTCCGGTTGACACATTTGTGCAATCGACATTGCATGTGAAAATATATCTTCTATACCCCACCACAATTGGGTACATTCTAGTATCTGTTCGTCTTGAGTTTTTGTTGACATTTCAGCTATAATGTCGAGTACCAAATCCATTCTAAACAATAATGAAATTTATTTTATAATTATTTAATATAAAAATGGTTTTTTAATTCAATAGAATTTAATTTTGCATAGAATACCTATAAACAAAATGATTTTCTTTTTCCATAGTTTCATCTTCTGGAGATGGATTTGGCGCTTCCAGTACTTCAATTATTAATTTGAAACAAAGACTTATTCTTTCGCATATATATTTCTTACAATTCTGCAATAATTATTAAATTATTTTATAGTTTTCTTTTTCTTTTACTTATCCTACAGCAGATATATTTGATCATTAAGTATAAAATATCCTGTTTCAAACAAACTTATCGGACGTTTCATACTTAATAATATATTTTTTCAATAACAAATTATAATAAGTAACAATTTAAAAATATATCTTTAGTAAATTTGATAGATCACATTACATAAATTGATGCATTTAAATGATGTTGCTCCTGAACCAGCTGTGCTAACATACTGAACGTTGTATGTATCTGGAATGCATACAATGCTATTCTTTCCGAAAGAAAATTTGAAATTAAACTTTTTCTATATTTTTGTAACGGACCAAGTACTTCAAGTATAGAAGTACCAAGTTCCTATAACGAATACAAATATATTTTTATATATACTTTGTGTTTTTATCCCTTATGTTATACAAATATTATAAAAACATAATAAGAGGGAAAACCTTTATATTTTGAAAATCTTCAATTTCATTTTCAGCACCCATTTCTTTAACATAATCGAAACAATCTTGAAGTCTTTGTTTTAATGGCAAACATTCAAGATTTTCAAGTGCTTTTAAAGCCATTATAAATTTGTCAAGTAACGTTCCTATTGCATCTTTGCTCGTATGACTGTTGATATTTTCTACCTGAAAAATATATTGCTTCAACATTAATATCAAATTTCAATTGCAGTAATAACAAAATAAACATACCCATTCATTAGCAACTATTTCATTGGATAAACAAAATTCTTCAATGGTATTGGCAATTTTAGTTTTCATTTCTTGATAATCGGTAATATCATCCTTGGATAAGTTCTCAAATTTTTCACCTAGAATACGTAACTGATCACAAAAAACTGATTTTATATTTAGAACATCGGATTGTCCAGCCTCGCTGTCTCTTATCGAATGCTTCAAATTATTTATCTGAAAGATTTATTGCAAACATAGCTTTTAATATTTGTAATATTTGTATATTTAAAAAAAAATAAGTATTATTATTAAATAACATAATTGATAATTTTACTTGTATTTCAATAGGATCCAAGATCTTTTGCATACGTTTGGTTTTTAAAGACATATTGATCAATTACTTTTTCGTCAATTTATTTCACAATACTTTATCATAGAATTCAAACGTTGAAACGGTCATAGTAAACAAAGTGAAGTTAGCCACTAATTGTAACTACATTAATACAAAAATATACATATGCTTTCAAACATGATCGTAGTAACTTTGCATGTAGTTACATATATATATTTCAATGTTAAATACTATAATTTAATAATTTATGAACTTATAATTTTCACACAGTTAACTGAAATTATAATATAAAATAACATCTAAACCGATATTAAATTTATTTAATAATAAAATAAATGTACTCTATTTTTTGGTAATACATTTTCTAAGTTTAACGCCATCTAGCGAAAAAAATAAATAGTGATATTTTTTAAGGTTAAGTTATGACACAAATAAAAAATTAAGAAGATAAAAATATATTACATTTTTATACAAAATATTATTTTGAAAGAAAAAATACACACATACACATACATTTAAAGCTAGGTAACGATATAACACGCAAAATAAAACCAATACAATATTTTTTAATGTAATATATATTTTGTATTAAATAGTTGTATATTTACATAATAGATCTAAGATACTATTACTCGAATTTGTTGTACTTCTCATTCATCAGGTATATTCTCCAGTCCCATTTTCTAAATGACAATTAAATAAATATATGCATATTAATCTTTTTTATACGTTTTTCTGTAAATGTAAGAAATGTTAAAATAAGTTCTTACCCCTGCAGTCATTGGATGATCACATAAACGTGAATCTCTTATAAACATAAGCAAATCCCACTCTTCTGATAATAACCTACGTTTTGGCTAGAAGAATAAAATAAATAGTAGTAAACTATAAATGATATATATATATATATATTACCATTGTATAATATAATGAAAATGAAATAAATAAATAAAACCATTTTTGCATCTATTAACAGGATTTAAAAGAAATAATGATTGGTTATGATAGATGTTAAATAATATAATACTATTATTAAAAATATATATTATGAAAAACGTCTACTCACAGTGTCAAACATTTTTAAACATAAATAATGGGCACCATAATGCGGTAATGTCAAACCAGCTACTATTATTACCATCGTCGGTATTACTTCATACCACATTTTGATCTAAATATCAATAATTCTCTGTTTAATCCGATAAAAGAAAAATATCTCAATACATTTCCTAAACGAAATCCTTCCAGACTTTTAATAGTCCTACAAAATACCACACTGATAAACTCAAATATAAAATGAATAACCTATCTGTTAACAATGCTACCAACTGACATTTTCTAATGGCGGTAATATTTAAAATGATTGTAGCTAAGATATTTTTTTCTCCTTTTTTTCACAAATTATTTTTACATAAAATATAATAAAACTTTGAAATTAATATTCTTATATACGTTAAATATATTCTTCATCATCTTAATTGTAATAAAAGAAATGTTCATTTTATTTTTCATAAGTTTGTATGTAAATTCGTCATATATAATTATAATTAATTAATTAAGTAATAATATTATAATATATTAATAAAATGTTTACTCTCTAATAATATTCTTTGCAACATTCTTTATCTTACCTTTGACTAAATAACAACAAACTAAAATAAAAAGAAAGAACATAAAGCTATATTGTTACAAAAAACACATAACAATTAATTGCAACTTTTTATTCATATTTTTTAAACAAAAACACAACAAAATTTGAAGTACACTTAACTCCCTTACATTTTTATTTTAAATTCAACTAAAATATAATTGTACAGTAACGTGACGTTTTTGTATTTATTTATTTTTATTTGTTGTTGTTGTAAGACGTTAATATATTAGTGTCTACCACGTATTTTTCTCATACGAATGTGTGTATGCACGTTAGTTTTAATCACGAAGGGAATAAATGAGAGTTGTTGTTGCTGTTTATTGTTTTTTTTTCTTTTTTTTTTAATTATTTTTCACTTTTTAATATATATTATATTAAATCATACCATCAAGATATCCATTAATCAATCATTAAGATATATCATCAATGTTATATCATGCATGCCCAGAGATAAAATCATTGTCGCCAAGTGTTTTTTTATTTAAATTTTTTTGTTTGCGACTTCGAGCGTAATAATAAGTCTTAAGAGCTCCTTTTAATAACAATATTGTTTATTGTTGATATTATGAAGGAGTTGTTTTGCTTTGAACTGGTTACACAAATGGCCGCCACAGAATAAGGCACACAATTAATGCAACGCGCATTTAATATAGCGGTATTATTCGCTCCTATCATTAATATACTTTAAAGTGAATGAATTACTATTAACTTTATGGATTTATCCTGGAAATAATCGATGCTTTTCATGTACCTTGGAAAAATTAGGATATTGCAGGAACGACTGTCTTCTCTATATATCGCTGTTGCTCCGATTAATGATTACATTATTATTATTATTGTATTATTATATTAATATTAATATTAGTTATTATTATTATTTATTATTATACCTGACGTCAATATTGTGTGTGTGTTTGTGTATATATATATGTTTGTGTTTGTTTATTTGTTTGGATGAATAGCGCTTTTAAATATATACATTTTTTGAGGTATGTTTGTATATTATGATATGAGATACATGCGATATTAGTGAACCATACGTTTATTTTTTTTCTTTCTCTCTTTCTTTCAATCGAGATATACATTTTTTACCATCAACCTGAGGTATATTATCCTTTTTTTCCCTGCTATATGAAACTAATATGAATTATGACATAACAACAGCTTTTGTTATATATTTTTTGTTCTTCTTCTTCTTCTTCTTTTTGCATGTGTAAGTAAGTACACGTATGCGTATACAAGCAAGTGTGCATCTATTWTATCAATAGTATGTATGTATTTATGTATGTATGTATCTATTTCAACGTAACTTTTATATTCTTTTCTATTGTTTTAGATAATTTTTAAATTAATGTGTAACTTTTTGCTCATTGTCCCATGTGAGCATTAACTTATGTACATTCTATATTAATTATTTTTTTCTTATTTCTTTGTATCTTACTTTTGTAATCTTTGTTTGTTTCTTTTCTTTTCAACAGCTAGGATATAACTACGTAATCTACTGCATTTTTTCTTTTTCGTCTAGATTATAATATATACCTAGCCAAACGTAATGCCCATAATTATATCAATATCCATATGTTATACTACTCAAAGTATATAAGAAATAATTGTTTCCGAGTTCTTCTTTCTCTAGTTTTTCTCTTTTTATTTTTTTTTTAATCTTCATTTAATAATAATAATAATAATAATATAAGCCCTCGGCTTAGGAAATTGAATGAAGCGATTAATTAATATAGCGATTTTTCTAGTACAAGCTGTATAGTATCTTCAATTATATTTTTTATCTCCGAACAACAAATTTAAGGTATTCCCTAAGCGAAAGTAGTTTTTTTTTAACGTGGTACACGAACTTGATTATTATGTAAAATTCGGTGGATTAAACGGAGCTTTTGTAAAAAATAGGTTTTTTTTTTTTAGTCATTATCAGACATGGTATAATAATAATAATTCGTATCGTGCTTAATACGTACTTTTTTGTATTTTTTCTTTTTTAATAAGAACAAGAAAAATAATCAACGTGTCGTCGTAGCTTGTGTTTCCATTATTTTTCCATTTCCTTTCTTTTCTTTTTTTTTTTTTTATTCTTCGTCATTCTTAATGATTTCTATCCATTAAGTAAAGATAACGGGATGATATATATTCGATTAATCTTGTTTTTTTTTTGGCAAGATCATCAAAAATGCGCGACTTGTATGTATACTCGTCAACATAGAAATAAAAATATGTGCGCCAAGTAGTTTCTTCTACCCATCGTGGTAATCATTAATTCGTTAAAAACAATAACATTAATGCTTTTTCTTTTTTTTTTCTTTGCTTTGATACAGTATGGGTAATAACGTTCGATTGAAATATTTGTGAAATATGACGAGATGATAAAAATATAATTATTTACAAAAAAAAGAACTAAAACAGAAAAGAAAGAACAGTCTTCTTTTTTTTTTTTTTTATATGTTTCGTTCCCCCGTAATTCATTCGAAACATTTCTTGAAGAATTATGATTTTTGTTGTACGATAAAAATATATTAACGCATAGTTCATATATATATATATATATATAATATAATGAATGAATTTCGATCTTTCATTTTCGAGGCAATGGTGTAAACATATACGTTGATATATATATGTAATGTTTGTGGAAAAAGTACAGTGTCATTAGGAGTACAATCGAAATGTGCAGCCTTAGAACAATCATCGCGTTCTTTGTCTTTTTTTTCCAAGACATTATATTTATAATGAAGTTATATAACTGTTGGTTTGTTAGTTATTTAAGATTATTATTGAATGCTACAACAAACTGCTCTGCATGGTACGGGTCCTTCGCCCTCTTGACGATTTAATGCTTTACGTGGTTGAAAAATTGAATCAAGAGTTATGGATTGTGATTTATCCATGTAGCAACTTTCATATACTTCATAAGCTTCATCGATGGGTACTTTAAGTTTTCCCACTATACTTGTGTCTTTTTCATTTGGCATTATTATTGGAATTTCTTCTTCTTGATAACCTTTGATCAATTCAACAGGACTATTTGGCACCATTTTGGATTTATTCAATGGCTTAAGATCGAGCGCATTTATTTTACTTTCTAATGGCTCCTCTTCAATACTCGTAGCGCTTTCGCGTGCGAATCTGTAATACTTTTGTACATGCTCTATGATAGCTTCCTCGGCTTGAAAATTATCTTCTTCAGCAGCTTCTCCTTCATAGGATATACCTTGACTTAGTAATATTTTCTTTGGAGTTCTTATTGGCTCAATAGTTTCTGCTTCCCAACATTCTAATACGTCAGGTTCCTCTATACTAATCAACGAAGCAACTGTACTTTCTACTTCATCATCATCGTCGTCTTCATCGTTGTTATTTCTTTTTTTCTTATCCATCTTTTCTTTTTCTAATTTATTATTAGCATCAACTATTGTCTTTTTCACATTAATCTCGTTCGTTTGATTAATACTTTTGGATACATTCTCAACATAATGCACGAACTGTGCGAACGGTGAAATTTGAAGAAATTTCCCATCTATTGAAACAATTATTTCTCCTTTCTCAAATGTTCTGACATTCATAGTATCCTCCTCTGCAATTCCTTCATCTTCCATACCAGCAACGTCATTAATATATCTTATCTTAACGTTCATACTTTCAGCCGGTTTTTTATGAATTTTCTCTGTTTTTCTCCCACGTCTGATGTTGTTTCTTTTCGAATTCATCCGAGAGCTGTTAGCAACCCTCATACCCGCAACACTATCCTTCTCAACAAATTCGCAAACTCCCGCAGCAACATTTGTTTTCAGCAGATTCTTTTTTCTTAATTTTCTTGTGAATTCTTCTGTTTCTTGTTGTCGTTCCTCCTTTTTCTGTTGTTGTTGTTGACAAGAATAATCGAAGGAAGAAAGTCTAGCTTTGGTGTTAAGAATATTATCATTTTTATTTACAACATGTTTAGCGAATCTATCTCTTGATATTTTCTTAATACCTCGAACATACGTTGTTGTTGCTGTTTTCCTTTTATTAACTGCTGATAATAAATTATTGTTGCGCTCTTTATCGTTCTCAATGTTGTTATTAATCTTTGCGAATTCGCTGCAGCTAGCCATGCACGATGATTGATCATCATCGGCTTTGCTATTAAAAGATAGTGCAGGTATGGGGTTGCCTTGCAAGTTTTTTGGCGGCTCTTCGTCGAAATCATCCTCGTTTTCATCCTCGCTATCGTCCGAAACAATCGATGATGTTTTAATAAATACGTCGGGTGAGTTAGCTCTTCTTAACCATTTGGTTACGGCTTCGGTAATACGATATTCGGGATGACGCGTTTGGGTCTCGAAACCTGAATCATCGTTCGAATTTTCGGCGATGTCTTCGCTAACAGTCTTATTATCGACATTGTCTCTTGTAGTCTCAAATACGGATTCGCTCGACACACGATCTTCCACTTCAATTTCGTTATTATCTTTTCCAATAATAGATACGGATTCCGAATCGAAGGGTAATGAAAGTGTCGGTGGTTGTTGTGCGTTGTCAACGTTATTATCGATGGTATCAAATGAAATAACTGTTTTGCTCTCGCATTCGACTCCAATAGCAGCACCATTACTACTATTATTATTATTATTGTTATTACTATTGTTATTATTAATATTATTATTATTATTTGAGTTAGTTGGATCGGGTGTTGATTCTCTTGTTAACTTTGTACCCTTCGAATTGTACTTCTTTTTCGTAGATAATAAAATCGTTGTTGTATCCTTCGCAGTATCCAACGATTCGGATGTTTTTTGCAACTCTTCTTGTCGAGTATTAACGTATTTGGTTTCTATCGTTTCTTCCTCAGGATCCAATTGACTCGACAATCTTGACGACGACGACGATGCTGTTGCCAATGCCGATGTTGATGCTGATGATGAGGACGTTGTTACTGTTTTAGAAATCAAGGTACGATTTTCTAGAGATGGAATTTGATTCATTATCTCTGTATCATCATCAATATTATCTTCTTCTTTTTCTTCGTTCGTAGATAGTTGGCCATTTACTAATATTTCATTATCATGTTCAACGTATAATTTTGATGAAAATGTCTTATTAACGTCGCTATTAGATCGTTCGGATAATTCATTGGCACTGAACGAACTATTATTAGGGACGTCCTTAATATCAGTCCTTAAGAACGACGCTTTACTTTCAGTCCTTGCGTCGTTAATTACGTAGTCTGTAATCTCCTCGTTCGTTGAGTTGACTTTGTTATTATCAGAGAGGTAGTTGATCAGTCTATTCTCTGGATTAGTCAAAGAGTCAACTTGATTGTTAGATGACGTCGATACCGACGACGACGACGATGACAATGACGACGACTCTTTCACGAATGATTTCAAATTCTTATCGTGAATTTCATTCAATATTGCCATTTCCTCCTCTTCTTTGTTGTTCATATCCTTACAGGAAGTATTATACTTTGTATCATAAGAAGTATTATTACCGTTCTCACGTATTCCTTCGGTAATCGTACTTATTCGAAGTAATTGTTCAGTTTTTTCAGAGATACGCTGTTCTTCTTGTTGTTCTTGTTGTTGTTGCTGCTGTTGTTGTTGTTGTTGTTGTTGTGATGATGGTGATGGTGATGATGATGGTTGTAACGTAGGTAAAACATCACGTTCGACGACTGGACGAAGTTGAAATTCTTCGCACTCTGGATTAAGGGGTCGATTCGTCGTCCTCGTTGTCGTCGTTGTCATCGTTGTTGTCGTTGTCGTCGTTGTCATTGCTGTGGTTGTTGTTATTGTTGTTGTTGTGACCAGAGCTGGACACGTAGACCAAGAAGATGTCCGAGAAGACGATAAAGCACTTTCTCCTTCGGAACTGTAATCTTCTTCATCATCTTCATGATTAACCTGAAGAAAATGATAATAATATAAGTATATTATATATTCTAATGTTTATATACATGTAAAACATATTTGGATATAATCCAATTCAACATTACCAACGCGAGTCTTCTTTGCTTTCTACTTCTTTTCTTCTTTCTTCGTTTGTTGTAAGCAGTCGTCATTCTTGTAACATCTGTTGTTCTGATCATTGGTCCTCCTTGTATGGTTACACCTTTTAATAGAAAAAGACAATACAATTGTTCTTAGTAAATTTAAATAATATTTGTAAAATTAGTTATTATTATTATCCGAATATATTGCAAATAGAAATAATCTAACGAGTATACAGAACGCTTCTTTTATGAAAGGACAATTAAAGAATGAATATAGTGCACCAGTGTCCTTTTTTCTTTTTTTTTGTCGTTGTAGGCTGTTGTAAAATAAATTGTATAAAACACCTTTTGAGTTTAATTTCTTCTTCGTCCATCAATTAAGAGGAGGACTTGCTTGAGGAAGGTATGGAATGAACTTGGCTTTTTAACGTTTTCTCGAGAGCTCCTGGCCTCGCATCGACGCCAACGAATATATTTTTACCCAGACTCTATTTTAGTGTTTTAGTAGCGCAATGCGTTTACTTTGCCAAGTTTCGTTACTTGTTCCTTACTGTCTTCTCTTCTACTTCTACTTCTACTTCTTATTATTATTCTTCTTCTTCTTTTTCAAGGAGGCAACGCATATTTCCGACGTGCTAAATGTCGAAGCAATTTGCCCGCGGCACCGTGACTCGTGATCGTCGGACATGAGTCAATGGACCTCTAAGATAAGAGAGATGGTTTTCGAATGTGTGCAACGTGATTGCAATGAGAGAACGGCGTGATCGTAAACGCGAATACGAGAGATAATTACATTTATTTATATAGATATATTATATTAAACGTAGTGAATGAGATGACACAGGTGAATATACCAGAAAACATCTTTCCTGGATACATTTTGATTTTTTGATTGTTTTCTGTACAAATACGAGACATCGAGCGTGTAATAGGAAGCTTTGCTGTTAGATACGATTGCAAATCAATTGAATTCTTGTCTTTTTTTATTTTTATTATTTTTTTTTTAATTTTTAACGCAAGAGCGAGAACATTTCAATATTTAATAGGGATAGGGGTTTCGAATTTAAATGAATGGTTTAAAATAATTGACTTGAAAATGAATGATCTTGGTTGTTAATTAAATCTTAATTAAAATGATCATTTAATGACTTAGTAGATTTGTTCATTAATATAATCAAAACCTTTCCTATTACGATCGTATCTAAGGCATGAGCTATTCCTATTTGCGTATTATTACCTTTTACCTTGAATGGGGTAGAGGCACGGTGGTAATAAAACAGCAATGATGTCGATGGACGGGACAGCAGTCATGTATCTGGGTAAATCCCTTTCCCCTGGCCGCGCATCCAACCGACACTGTTCTCGTTTAACATTAGAAACAGGTACAATCAAATGTACTATGCCCAATCTTGACGCATTACAGGGAAGGAAGTAGCCGATATTTCTCATTCTCTCTACATTTCTCTTTTTTTCTCTCTCCTTCTTTCTTTAGTTTTTTTTTCCCTTTCCCTGTTTTTTTTTTTCTTCTCTTTTTTATATTCCCACTATTTATTTTACCTTTCAAAAGTTAGTCTCGTATATCCATAGTATCGAAAATACCAACAGTATGGTTTAAAACGATTCTATTTCTTACGATCGTATACGTCAAACAAAAAAGAAAAATAAATATTGTCCCCCAAGTTCTATTATAATACTCTCTGAAGTAAGAATATATAATTATTAAATAGAAAACTAACACAGTCATATAATATTTTCCAAGTTCATAATGTAAGAATACGTAAAGATAGCGGTCGATTGTGCAACGTTACGTAAACGATCATAAAGAGACACGTTACGCGCTTCCTTCCCAACGTGCGCTTTTTTATTTCCTCTACATATATATGTATATATGTAGAAAGATTCCTTCCTATATATCTCTTTTTCTTTCTTTCTTTTTCTCTCTTATCCATAATAAGACTTTTTATTTCGTCCGTTGTTCCGTCCATCCGTCCGTGAACAGAACGAAGATCTAATTGTATACGAAGAGCGAATAAAAACAAACTAACTATTCTTAGTGATTTAAAATAAGTCATAAAAACAATATCAATAATTTTTCGCATAAACATAACAGAGAGATTCAATTGTTAACCAACCATTAACGTTGACCAGTGGTGGGCCGAACATGTAGTGACCAGGATACATATATGGTTGTGGTATGGCTGGTATCACATGTGGCACGTGGTATACAGGTGCTTGCTGCATTACTAGTGGTTCAAGATAAGGACCACCACCATTTCCATCATCGTTGTTTTCTTCTATCATTGGACATTGATCCGCTACACCATAAAGCTCTTCTGTTCGATTATCCTCTTTGACCACCACTTCCCCTGTCGTCACGTATGTTTCTTCCCCTTGTTGTTCTTGTTTTTGTTGCTGCTCTTGTTGTTGTGGTTGTTGTTGTTCTTCCATCTCCTCTGCAACACTTCCATTGCAACTTGCACTTCCAGTAACACTTCCGTTCCATACACCATTAGAATTTTCTACTGGTACTAATTCATTGCCATGTTCTTCTATTACCACGGGATGACTTTCTGTACTTTGACCACTCTGTTAAAAATCATTCAATCGTTATTGATGACATTAATACCTCCTGTTTTTTCTAAATACGGATAAGTACAATAACACAGAGTAGAGTCAGTTTCACCTGATAATTATTATCATTGGAGTCCATTATACAATAAGATTGACCAGATAGTTTTGGTACGAAGGCTGGATTGATCCACTCAATCGGTCTCAAAGGTACTGAAGTACATGGCAAAGCTGCAAGAATGCTAGGTCCAATTGGAGCAGGAACCGGTGCAGGTCCTACCAACATCACTGGATACTCATAATAATAACCGCTAGCGTGATCATAAAATGTCCCGTAACCAACTTGAGCAGCTGGATCAACTCCTGGAGGATATTCACCAGATGCACTATCCCTATCCAATAATTGTTGATCCTCTGTTGTTTCGCTACCATCTAAAAGGTCATTGCATTACAAATAAAAGATCAACTATTTTAAGAAAAATAAATTCAATAAGGTGAATGATGTAGAGATATGAAAATTAAGAAGAAGGAAAACATAATAAATAAATAAATACGAACGAAGAGAATGAATATAGAATAATCAAGAAGTTACCTTTTTCCTAAGATAGACAAAGACGACAACAGAACAAGTTAATCTTATTGCTATATACATAAAATATTAAAATAACAAACACAAAGGATAATAAAACTAAAGATTTGATGAAATGCTTTACGCTTCTACCTATACCTCTACCTGCGGTTGAATGCGAGGCTGATTGACTCTCAGTGGTTGATGGGGTAGCGCTGGTACTGGCGTTACCAGTCCATGTTTTTTTACGGGATAGATAACCCTTCTTGAATAAGACATCTTGTCTAGGTGTACTAATCCTTGCATATTCATCCTCGTTAAATATAATTTTAGGTTGCGACAGAGACCCTGTAGAGTCATCTCTTCTCGATCTGGATGTTCCACTTGCATAACCACTGCTACCACTGGATCCAACGATGCTTCTTCTTGATTTATACTCAGTCTGTCCGTTTCGATCGAAACTATGAGAGCTTGTGTCATTTTGTTGACCTTTTACGTATCCATTTCGTAAGTCTTCTTCTTCGTCCTCCTCTACTGGCGGAGCTGTTGAAAAAAAAGGTCATAAATTCAAAGTATTGTTCATTCGTTGTAAATTAGATTTGTATTTTTTTTGTATTATTTATTTTTACTACTGTAAAAATCGAATATCTTTCAATAAATGTTTGGAAGAGTCATAGAGTGAACAAATATATATATATACAAGGATAGCAAATAACACGAAGTATGTTAGCCTAGATTTCGTGCCAAATGAATCTCTCTTTCGTGAACGGTAAGTGTGACAATTGCTGAAGGTTCTTTATACTATTCTATCTTAGTAATTTTTAAAACGTGTCATAATTTACAATATGATTAATTAATGTTACATTTATCTCATATATAGAGGATTATATTTCATATTACAAATCATTCCTCTCTCTATTTTTATATTAAAGAAGGATTACTGAAGCGTATAAATAAATTTATTAGCGTGTTAAATAATGTAACAACAATAAAAGGTGAGAGCGAAAAATAATTAAAACAAATTTAAAATTAAAAAAAAAACTACAAAAGATGTTTTGTTTTAACAAACAGACCAATTTCGCGAGCATTAACTCATGACAATTTGAAAATCGTACCATCTTGGTACCTTGCTAAAAGCAAAACGTGATTGGAGGAGCCGATCACGTGGGTAACCCTCCGTTGTCGGCGCCACTGCATGACTTTTTCCCTCCGCCCTTTTTTAAATTTTCCACCGTAGATGGATAGATAGATAATCCGTTTTCAAGCACTCTCCACACGACGATTTAAAGTTTCTAATAATGCATTTACTTATTTTTTCATAAATGCATTATTCGATGATAAATATAATATAACATTAAGAAAGGGAAAAGAGAAGAAGAAAAGAAGGAAGGAAGGAAGGAAAGAAAGAAAAAAATGTTGTTCAAAGAAATCCCTCAAAATTCTTACTACAAATTTCGAAAATAGTTATTATTATTATTATTATTATTATTATTATTATTATTATTATTATTTTCCCTCACTCTACCAATAATTAAATAATTTGATTAGATATCTTTTCAAATCACTATCAATCACCCTCTGCTACCCTACCGTACTTTCATCCCTTCCACCCCCACCTCTTTCTCTCTCTCTCTTTTTCTCTTTCCTCTCTCACCGTCGTTTGTCTCGATCGTTACGGATGAGTGATAAGGGACGAAAATACACGTAACGAGGATGCAGCAGCGCAATAATGCTTCGCACGCGATGCCCTGAGATCGACTAAGGTTGTGCGCGGAAAGGGGTGAGCGTAGGTAATCGGAAGGTGGCGGGGGATAAGTAGAGAGAAGAGGAGAGGGAAAAGAAGAAGAAGAGAAGAAGAAGAGAGATACAGACAGATAAAGAGAGAAAGAGAGAGAGAGAAAGAGAGAGAGAGAGAGAGAGAGAGAGAGAGAGATGAGACGAAACGAGACGAGGGCGTTCGTAGAGTGTCGTGCGCTCCGGCGGACGTAGCCGATTGGCTACCGTGCTAGCATAGGACTAGAATAGCATTGGAATTAGAATAGAAGACGAACGATGAAACGAGGGATAGATAGATCCATCGGCAAAATTCTCTGGTTCAACGAAGGACGACGAATACTAATCCTCAAACAATATTTCTTTCATATTTTTCTCTATTTTATTTATATTACACTAAATATCTTTTCATTTTTATTCAATTATATATATGACAATTTATACACAGGTGATCTATTTATAGGTTATCTATTTATATATATATCGATAAACTATAAGATATTTATACCTTTTTAAATATAGAGAGAGATAATATATATATATATATATTTTTTTTTTAAATTTAAATTTAATATTTAATAATATATAATAAATTTAATATTTTTAATAGTTAAAATATAATTTAATATGTATATATATATATATATATATATATATATATATATATATATATATATAT